CTTATCCTTAGATTAAAGTCACAGAAAAAAGACGCATAATATTAATTAGATGTGGCACCATTCCCCCTGAGATAAGGTCCTGGGACTGAGGACTACTTTAAGCCGAATCACAGATAAAAGGTCAGTTAAATGGAAAACCTTCTAATATATATGATTATAGGACAAAAAAATACAGGAAAAAAGTTACCAAAAGTTGCAAGTATTTGGTGCGAAAAGTTTTCAAGCTCTCAAAGGAACTTGCCTGAATTTGCGACCCTCATTGATTCTTTCTCATTGATATTTACTTTTTTAGGAAATTAAATTCTTAGTGCAACTTTTTAGTTGAAAGTTGGTCAAAGGGAATTTATCTAGTTGAAATTATTCTTGAAAAGAATAATAGGGGAGTCTCTAGAATTTATAATTCCATGCCAAATTTAAAAGTAAATAATATGTATTAAATGAAAACCGTAAGAAAACTCCCTGTAAATACAGCTCTCAATTTTTCTTCAAGGACTCCTAATGGCTTAACACTTCATTAGCGAGCTGACAGTCTCTCCTGATCCCTTGGGGATTTTGGCAGGAAACGGAATCATTCGCACTTCAATCATATATTACAGGCAAAGAGATGGAACAGGGGGTCTCCTCCACTCCGGCAATTACTTTTCTTTTGGGGATTCCCATGCTCCTCCTCCAATCACTCAGGGTTTTTGGGGATGCTCCTTTTAAAGGTCACACACCAACGGACTTCCGGGTGGCGAGTGTGTGTAATGCTCTTGCCCCTGGGCCAATGGGGCATAACCTTTATGACGGGCACTGTCATTGCTGCCACGGACAATTCAATTATGCGACGCCTTTTCAAAGAAATAAAGCCACAAAATTATATAGATTACATTTGATCAACCTAAAAGCTCGCCGAAAAATACGAAACGAGAAGCTGGACGGACCCACAGCTCCGTCCGTCACTTGATACGTATAGCTGCTCCGGGGGGCAGCATCGATTAGCGTCCGCCGGATAATGACATGGTTACGGATATGGATACGGATACGGCTATGGTGATATGGCAATGCCGATACGGATATGGGACAGACAACAACAGATGCTGTGATGGGGTGAGTTTTGAATGCACTTGAAAATATATTATTTAAGCTTTTCATTTAATTATTTCGATAATTTAAGTTTTAAATTTAAGGCCCGATGGTTTGAAATACTAGCAACTAAGATGATTAATAAGAAAATCAAAATTCCTTATAGATTTCATAGTATTATAGGATCAAAAATATATCGATATTTATCGTTATTTTTATATGACAATTTTTGTCGTCAAATCAAAATTTAAAAATCTCATAACTCAGCCAAAAATGCATTAATTTCCATTCGGAAAGCTGTTCTGTGCTAGTTTTTATTAGGTTAATAAATCTGCATACTCCATTTAAAATGTAAAAAATTTAAATTTTTTGTCCATTTTTTTTTAATTTTAACCTCTTATAAAATTTTTAAAATTTTTAAAAAAATTAAATTTTTGTAGGACATGGCTAAATCGATTCGCCTGTTGATGCTGATGAAAAATATATATAGTTTATGGGGTCGGAAATGACTCCTTCACTTAGTTTTAAGCTTCTGACTAAAATTGAAATATTGAAATTCTGACCAAGAAACGTATAGAATTTATTTAAATGCGACCTTGAACTATGGTTGTTTTAAGATATATAAAATATTTTCTTATAGAAACTTTAGTTAATATTAAAATACTCAACCAGCAGGCACTTTTCTAGTGTTTGGGAAATGGCTATGGGACATGTATAAAGGGGAATCCCCTGCTTCGGCACCCACATGTGCGGACCCTGTAATCGTAGAACCTCCGACCTCCATAAATAACGATTGCTTGCCGTATTCAAATTACCTAAAAACAGGCTGTGAACGGGAAAGGGGGGAGATATTGGGGTTATAGAGTATATGGGATTACTCGGAGCTTGGACCAGATCTCGTCCATATTTTCGGGTTGAACGTGGCCGCCAGCGACAAGTTCTTAAGTGGGGGGAAAAATCGGCATGAGGACCGGCTTCCACTTACGCGATTTTCCATTCCGGAAATGGGTGGAAATGGGGGCGGCGGAAAATACACCTCGCCTGAGTTACAATTTGTTTTTTCCGCTTTTACAAAGCCGAAGTTGATTCTGTTTCAACATCAGGGATTAAGTTCTAGTTGAAGGAGTTGAAGTAGAGCTTAAAAATATTGATAAACCTTATTTTAAATATTTATCCTGCTCGAAATAAATTGTTACAGGAGTCTAAAAATATTTCTTGTAGAGAATAACATTTCTTAAAGCCTTGGGAATTATTTTATTCTATTTATAAAGATGCATAAAACTTAAGACCAACTTAAGCGTATAGTAATTATAACAAAAAGCAGCTTTGCTCGACTAGATTTCCCAGCACAAAGACAGTGCGGAGAGGAACACTTTAATTGAATTTCAAAGGAGGAATAAAAAGGGAGAAAATCTCCGTCACATAATTGACACATTCCGCTTATCTCTGGAGGACCACACTTATTCACCCCACCCCCCTGGATTTTTCGCATGAATTAAAAGGTGTGGTCAGATCCTTGGGATCCTGGTTAATCCCCAACTCCGCTCATAAACTCTGGTAGCCATGGTGCTATGTACACTCAAAGGAATTGGGAATCTCTAGCCCAAAAAAATAAATGTATATATATTTATATGTATTATAAATCTGATCTCCTGTTGATGTTGATCAAGAATATATATGGATTATAGGGTCGGAAATAACTGCTTCACTTAGTTTTAAGCTTCTGACTGAAACTATATTTCCCTGGAGGGGCATAAGTACACCAGTGCGTATACGTAATTTTTCGGACTATGAATGCTAGAAATAAATTGTAGCTTCAGCAGAACTAAGCTTATATACCCTTGAAGTTTGCAAAAGAATTATAGGATTGGATTGAAAATCGATCATAACTAGGCTTAAAATATTGTCATGTTTTTTAATATTTATCAGTATTTTTACGACAATTTTGTCGACAAATCAAAGTTTAAAAAACTTATAACTAAGCTAAAAATGCATTAATTTCAATTCGGAAAACGTTCTTAAGTTAGTTTTTATTGGGATATTAAATCTGCATACTCCATTTAAAGTATAAACAAAATTAAAATTTTTGTCAATTTTTGAAAATTTTAATGATGTAACCCCTTATAAAATTTTGAAAAAATCGACAAAAATTTTTTTCTTCCAAAAATGGCTAAAAAGATTCCCCTGTTGATACTGATCAAGAATATATATGATTTATAGGGTCGGAAATGCCTCCTTCACGTCGTTTTAAGCTTCTGACTGACTCTGCAGGGGTATAAGTACACCAGTGCGTATACGTAATTTTTCAGCAGAGCTAAGCTTATATACCCTTATAGTTTGCAAAAGAATTATAGGATCGAATCGTAAATCAATTATATCTAAGCTTAAAATATTGTCATTCTTTTAATCTATATGTATCAGTATTTTTTACGACAATTTTGTCGAGAAATCAAAGTTTAAAAACCCCATAAGTAATAATATAATACCCTTGCAAGGATATGAAAATCAACACAAAATGTATTGTAAATTATTAATAATCAATCGAAAGTCCCTCCACATAGAGATATGTTATATATGTGTAGAATTGTTTCCCCCAGTGTATCCTGTGGCAGGACTTTGGTTAAGCCACCAGAGTGAGAGACCGAGGGAAGTTACAACTAATAACACAACTTTCGGGCTACATCAAGCGGTTGTCAGGTCAGGTCAGCGCCCATTTCGAGAGTTTTCCCGGCTGGCCGCAAGGACATCACTTCATTTACCCGGCAGAGAGGGATTTGCAATTCATTCGAGCTCATAAATCTAAACGGCACCACGCACTTACACTTAATGACATTTTATTACAAACAAATTTAACGGCAGTGGCCAGAATCCCTTCCTATGAAATGCCCAGTCATTTTGGCGCCGCCACTGTCAATTTGATAAACATAAATTAATATGCAAATTGCAAATGGGGAAATTTTAATTGAAAATCGAGTTTTTTTTGGGGGGGGGTTACCAAAATTTTGTACTAAAAATATATGTACAAAATATAAAAATATACCGCAGAGGCTTGGCCTCATTTTTGGGAACTGCCAAATAGTATTCACGTCAATTTTTCTGGCACTTTTGATTGGGTTTTGTTTCTGTGATTTTAATGAATAAAATAAATACTTTTTAAAGCCTATAATTATTTTTCACAACAGAAATATTGGTTTATTTATTTTTAAATATTTCTGAGCTTGGTAACTCCTTTCAAACTTTAATTTTTGAGTAGTTAAATTTAAAATAAGACATCCTAACCCACCTTTAACCAAACTTTAGTATATTTATTTAAGTTCGAAGGACCTTTTCCGCAAGTCACATACTTTGTTTAAAAAAAGAAAGCAAAACAGAAAACTTGTGCCCTCTCTTTGAACTTTTGCAAAGCCTTCTCATTTGTTGTCATTACTTGTTGCCTGATTTCCATGGCTATAACTTTTTCAACTTCATTGGGAATGTCCTGGATTTATTTAAAAATAAAATAAGTAAATAAGATTATTTACTGCAAAGAAGTTTATAAGGATTTTCTGATTTGCCTTAAATACTCTCTTGCTGCTTGTTTTATTTATAAATAATTATTTAAAGTAGCTTTTTCTCGCCTTACTTGTAAATATTATTCAAAGATCCTTTTTGTTTGGTTTTTTAACCAATTTCAGCTGGGATTTCTCAAAAATTCTCTGGTTAATCTCACCGAGACGAGGCCTGGCCAATGTCTTGAACAGATCTTTGACCGGTCAGGCTTTTGTTATTTCAATTCGGCAAACAAACATTTGCGAATAAAGTAGATAAAAATATATATATATAGGAATATAAACTGGTGAATATCTGGCATATATCTACCCTATCTGGACACAACACCAACGAAAAAAAAATTAAAGTGGAAAGACCCGGAAATTGTTTATTTTTAAGACACATACGCATGATCATTGCTTTTGACACTGGCAGCCAGGGAGTTCGCCTCCTCCTCCTCCTGTTGTTGTTTTTTGCTTCCGATTTTCCAATTTTCCCGTAATCGTATTTAATTTTAGCACAAGAAAACAACACTAAAAAAAACGTTGGGAAAATAAATTAACTTCGCCACACACAGACACACACTTTGCAGGGGGTTCAACACACCGATCACAGATCGCGCCGATGGATATATGTACATATATGTTTTCTCGATTCTCGGTTCGATTTTTCATCCGCAGCGCCGCGCGTTCGCTGCCAACGATATCAAACAACTGAGCGGAAAAGTGGGCATGCCGAGTCAAGCGAGCTGCAACATGTGGCATGCCACCGCTTTTCCTGCCGCTTTTCCACCCAAAAACCCCCACGCAGCGCACTCATTCACCAAGCCGGCTCCGCAGCGAATTTATGAATGAAAAGCACCGGGTGGCAAAAAGCTTTTCTGCCTGTCCATGAGTTTTCCACCAAGTTCAAGGTGAAAAGCCCTGGCGGGTGGAAAAGCTGCTGGGCGGTTACAAAGCATTTAAAGGTTTTCTTGGTGTAAGGATTTCAAATTTGCAAAAAAATGCAAACAATAGGCAAGAAAAATTTGGGAAAAATATTTCTAAATATTATTTAAGCTGAAGATTAATTAAGTTTCATAATTATGAAGGACCTTTAAACATAATATGAAGAAAAATAATAATAATAAAGCATAATAATTCAATATTACTTTAGTTAAATGAGACATTTTAATTAATAATTATAATGCTAATATAATAATATATAATATAATATAATAATATAAATGCTATTAATGTATGGCAATTTTTAAGAAAAATGAAAGTTTAAAAATCTCATAACTAAGCCAGAAAAGCATATATTTCAATTCGGAAAGCTGACCTATGTTACTTTTTAGTAGGTTAATAAATCTGCATACTCAATTTAAAAATTAATAAAAATGAAATTTTTATCAATTTTTCAAAATTTTAACGATGTAACCCCTTATAAAATTTTGAAAAAATTTCAAAAATTTTTTTTTGCCCGGATAAAGCTAGAAATATTCCCCGGTTGATGCTGATCAAGAAAATATATGATTTATAGGGTCGGACATGAGTCCTTCACTTAGTTTTAAGCTTAAAACTAATATTAAAATACCCTTAAAAGGGTATTAAAAGAAAACCACAATTCATTTTTTGATAAATAACTTATTTAATATTAAAACATAATTTACAAATACAGGTAAAACATAAAGCGTGAGGTGAGGATAAAAAAAAAACAAAAAAAAATTGTAAAATGTGCCTAAGGTAAGAGTGTTCCCTCGGAGCTTCCTAGTAGTGATGGTAATTATGACGCTGCTGCTGCTGCTGCTGCGCCACATGGGCCTGGGCAAAGATGTGCTCCAGCTCGGCATCGCTTAGCTGGTCAAAGATACCGCCCTGGCTGCCCACACCGGCGCTAGTAGAGCTCAATGGCGACGGCTGAGAGCCCACAGGTGGCAGGTAACCTGGCAAGGATACAAAGAAAACCATGGATTAAGTTCTAAATCCTCTCAAGGATGGTTTCCCAAGTCTCACCTTCAGCTGGCGATCTGCCATATGGGGGCAGCAGCGTGATCGATGGACGATTGGGTGAAGCTGGCGAGGATTCGGCGGGTGGCTGATAGAAAACTGGCTTCCAGGGCTGCTGCTGGCTGGGTCTCTGGGTGGGCAATGGTACTGGCGGCAACTCTGGCTCTGGCTGTGGCTCCGGCTGTGGCTGAGGTGACTGAGGGATCTGTGGGGAAGCTATGCCGGTGCCGGATTCTGGAGCACGGGTTGGGATCCTGGCAGAGGAACAATTCCCCCAGGAAACTGCGCCTCTGGCTGGATGAAAGTCGGCGGCTGCTGGGTCAATGGTGGCTGTGGAGCAGCCGGAAAGAACTGATTGGTCGTCGGAGGATTGGGAAAGCTGGGCACCGAGGGAACAGCAGGCACTGCAGGCACGGCCGGTGCTGCTGGCTGTTGAGGGAACTGTGGAATCTGTGGGAAGCCTGGGAAGGGAAATTGTGGCAATCCGGGGAACTGGGGAATCTGAGGAATCTGGGGAATCTGTGGTATAGCTGGGATTTGAGGTATCTGAGGAACCTCTGGAGCCTCGGGAGCAGCTGGAATCGCCGGTTGGGCAGGCACTGGCTGGGCGGGTTGAGGGGGCTGGAAACTGAAGGTGGGAACTACCGGAAACTGGGGTATCGCTGGGACATCAACAGCTGGCGGGGCCGAGGGAATGCCAAAGGTTACGGAGGGCTGGATGGGCTGCACAGGCTGGAGGGGTTGTACGGGCTGCACTGGCTGCACAGGGTGAACTCCAAAGGTTACCGTGGGCTGCACAGGCTGGACAGGTTGAACTGGAGTCACGGGTTGCAGTGGCTGAATGTGGGTTACCGGCTGAACGGGCTGCAGGGGCAGAGGCTGGATAGTGGGTATGGTGGGAATAGTTTGGACAGGTTGCACAGGCTGGACAGGCACAGCTGGAGCAGTGGGAGCAAACGCTTGGACATAGGTGGGCTGTAAGTAAAAAAAATGTATATATAAACCAGGATTCTCAAGCAAAATCTAGAATAAATCTCAAGTTACTTACCTGCACGGCATGGACATGACCATGACCATGGACCGCAGGAGCATGGAAATGCAATGGCTTCACTGCCGTTTGGAACACCACCGGCTTTTGCAAATGCTGATGGGGATAATTGACACTGTACGAGGAAACCAAAGCATTGCCTGGACGCAGGACATACGAGGGTGGGGCCGCTGGAACACCACTCAAAGCGGTGGCCACACCACCAGGTATAACACTAGCCACTCCAGTGGGCAGGGCAGCTGGCAACGCACCAGGCAGGACACCAGACAGAGCAGGTGTAAGCCCAGCAGCAGGAAGGAGAGCTCCTCCCAATCCTGTAGCCTGAGCCAGGAGACCGGAGCCAGCCACTAGGGGACGCAGTCCATGTCCATGTCCATACTTGATGAAATGCCTCTGAGAGGGAGCGGCGGCCAGGAAGGCACTGCCTCCAGGCAACTGCAGGCTATAGCCATAATGGGCAGCATAAGTCCGTGCGGGCCAGTGGCCACCTGAAGCTGCTCCTCCATGCAGAATGCCACGCTTGTGCTTGCCCGTGGTGATCTCCGCCTCGGGCTCAGCTTCCGTCACGTGGATGGGGTTCTCCTCCTCCACCACTGTTTGTGGCGGTGCCTCCTCTGCTGTCGTTGTGGTGGGTGTAGTGCTCACCGGTGGCAGCGGTGAGGTGGATCTTCTCGAGTGACGCAGACGCAAGCCAGTGGCATCGGTTCCCCCACCAAAGACCAAGATTAAAGCCATAAAGACCAACAGGAGGCTTGGGCTTCGTGTGCCCGCAAAGAAATGCATCTTGGCTAGTATTTTTTTCTCAGTGTGAGGTGGAGGAGATGGAGGTGTTGGTGCCCGTAATCCGTGATTATGTCAACGCAGCGATCGACGCCAAGAAAATGAAATGAACTTCCTTGGTCGCTGTTGTATTTATAAAGCGGACATCGCCGCACAGTGGTGAGGCCGCCATTGCCGGACCCACTGTGCATACCAAGTGGCCATCATTGTGGTCTCTCTTGGTAGCAATGCACCTCAGATTGGCGAGGCAGTTGGTCAGTTTATGACTTTTACACTGCCATTTCACCTGCCCTATCATCCTATACCCAATACCTGTACCTAAACACAACACCTCATTATGCTAATGCCTCTTGACCAGGCACAGTGATTCAAAGAGCCCTTAAAAATATATACTAACAAGCTAAAAGCTTGTTTTCTCTGAGATATGTGCTCTAAAAAATCGAAAATATATCCCAAACCCTTATTTTTCAAACATTTTAAAGCATGTTCACAGCAAACATATCAAATGCTTCAATTATAAATATTGTTTCCTATTATTAAGTTCTCTGTTCCACTGTCTAGTGTCTGGAATGGAAGCCACCTACGCATGCGCAGCACGTTTGCACGCACAAAACTTTTGCTTTCAATGGCCACCATGTTCCGCATATACTCGGTTTTGTGTTTCTCCTCGACTCTTTTCACTTTCAGTCACCGGAGAGGGCCGAAGGTTTATGATTTGGCTGCAATTTAGATACGAATCAAAAGCGCTTAACTATGCCAGCGTTCCTTTTACGGCCTCGGTGGTTATAACCCAGGGAGGCCTTACATAATCCAGCCAAGATGTACATCGAGTTGGATATGGTAAATGGGATATTAGTTATTGGTTAGTGCTTATTGGATCCTGGATACTAGAAACTAGATCCTGAATATCAGATACAATAAGCTGGGCAATAGAAAGGGGATACCGAGTTACTACATTCTAGATACAAGAAACTGGATTTTGAATACAGGAAAAAGCATACTAGATGCATAACACCCAATGCTAAATAGTACTTTGTATAAAAACAGAATATTAAATCTATAATACTATGTATAAATACCAAGTACTGCATATAATAATAAATATACATAATACAATACCTAACAATAGGATCAAAAATTGAATATTGGATATATAACAGCAAAAAGCGGACAACCCCTCATGAATTTGGTCTAAACCCTCGTCTTTGGTGAAAGCATAATTATAATAAAAGCAGACAATGCTCAATTACCAATTACCTTACTCACTTACCAATTATTTTGATGGCATTTGGATTCCACTTTTATCCGCAAATCACCTCCAATGGCTTTCGTTAGCATTCAGCATTCACACACATAAATTTCACTTGCACTAAATTCGATACACTTGTCCATATATAGACAACGGATCTGGCATTATATCACACACTGACCGAACGACCGACCGGCCGACCGTAAATGAACTTTCAATTAGCCTACATTGATTTTCACTTTTTCGTTTTGTGGAAAACTGACGAGCGTTTTGGCGCATGGAATTTCAATCGAATTTTAAGGGTATATACTGGAATACTGGGTCAGCAAATATCGGTATATAGCATCTATTTGGGACTGGCACAATGCCTCAAGGTCTTTCCCAGGCCTTGCTGTTGGAGGAGATGTCATCATGTAATATGTTTTTTTTTGACAAAGTGCCCACCACCGTAAATAAATACAAGAAAAAAAACAACAAAAAAACTAAAATACAAATAAAAAAACACCATAAATACTTGTTCAACTCGATGCTTTATGAGCTCCTCCCGCCGACGACGTGAGTGGCATTGATAATATAACGATTCCACAACCAAAAATCAAATGGGTTTCTTCACAACTTGAAGCCGGAGTGTATGCTGACTATGCCAAAGGTGAGGTTCTCGTATGAAACTTGCTCGAAGCCGGCCTCCTGGATCATTTGCTTGAACTGCTCTTGCTTGGGAAACCGGCGGATGCTCTCCACCAGATACTGATAGGCTTGCCACTGGCCGGCGAGGAGTTGGCCCATTGGCGGTATCAATTGGAAGGAGTATTGATCGTACAGCCACTGCATTGTCTCATTGGTCAAATGGCTAAACTCCAGGCACATGAATCTTCCTCCCGGCTGTAGCACGCGATAGGCCTCGGCTAGGACCTGGACGGAGATAAATAATCATGTGAGTAGAGATAAATCATTGGGCAGCAGCTCCTCCCTACTCACCTTATCCACCCGCGTGACATTCCTTATGCCAAATGCAATGGTGTAGGCGGTGTAGCTGTCGCTCTCAAAGGGCAGCTTCTCGGCATCGGCACACTTCCATGCGATCGTGGAGTTGGGCAACTTCTCCGAAGTGAGTCCCAATCGCCTGGCCCTTTCCTCACCCACATCCAGCATGTGCTGATTGATGTCCGAAACGGTGACATGGCTCACGCGTTGCTTCGGATTCGATTGGTTGGCCAGGTAGCGAAGATAGCGAAAGGTAATGTCCCCGGTGCCGCCGGCCATATCCAGCAGTCGCATGCCGTGCACAGGTCCCAGTCGTTCAACGAATATGTCCTTCCACACGCGGTGGATGCCCAGGGACATGGCGTCGTTCATCATGTCATAGGACTGGGCCACCTGTTCAAACACTTGGTGCACTGGAAGAAGAGAGTCTAGGTAATCTAGAGACACCTAAAATCACCTGGCTACGCACCTTTTTGCTCCTTTTCGCTTTCCCTAACAGTTTGGAAGCCAAAGTGTGTGGTGTGCTCCTCTGCCGTTGCAGTTCCAGCGCTGGAACTTGCTTGCCCTGCTGCTCCTCTTGTCCAAAGTGGCGAAGTCGTTGCTTGCGCCGCTGTCCGGTTTTTCAGAAATCGGCGGGTCAGTGACAGCAGCACTCGGTTGCTCCTTGTACTTTGCATTTTGCGCGTTTTTATAATAATTAATATTATGAAAGAATAAAAACAACCGGTAAACAGCTGATGAGAATCAGGTACTATAGTTGTCCTTGTCTGGCAGCCGGCTAGAGATGCGAGTTGAGCTTCGCTGTGCTTTTTGCTATCGATAACACCCGGGGAAAAACAAATAGTTATCAATTTTGAAATTTGTCTTTAAAATGACAAAATGGAAGCCACGTTTTAGCCAACAACAAAATTAAAGAACATAATATTATAAACTTTCTTTTTTTATATATTTATATAGAAATTAATGTTAAAATAATAGGTCATGAGGGAAAGCCAAATAAAATATATAAACTATAAGAAAAGTTGTATATTATGTTTATTTATTCATTTTTTATTTATGTCGCTCCAAAAAGAGTTACCAACAGCATACATCTTTTGATATACATATGTGTTTCGAAAATAGGACATTAAATTTTCATTTAATCCGCACATTTAATAATTGTACGCCTGTCTTTATTTTTTAAGATGTGAAAAAAATACACACCAATTATTGTCGCCTTTCCTTATGCGTTTTTCTTCCTTCTTTCATTGTTCTTCTGTCTTTGTACTTCTTTCTTTGTACTTTCTTGGTATTTCTTTCTTTGCATTGTCGTCTGTGTTTATGAGTTACCATATCTTGGTATTGTTGATTTAGTTAAATTGTCATTTATATATATTTATATGCATATATATAATGCTATATGCATATAAATACATATATATATATATATATATATATATATATATGAGATCACGATACGAATGGGTACGCTCAGTAGTAGTACTCCTCCTTTTCCTCGGAATCGGTGATTAGATCGCTCATCAACGGCTCGAAGCACGACTTGGGTATCATGGTGCCCACAAAAATTTCTTCATCGGTCGTCTGGATGCGTATCAGCTGGACCTTGCCGTTGGAATGCGTATTCAGTATTTTCATAATGCGGCCCCATATGGAGAGCACGGAACCGGCCAGGACATGATACAGGCGCTGACGCATGCCCACCTGCAAGGTACAAAGAACGAGTAATGATTTCTAAGATTTATAGTTTATATTTTACCTAAATAACTCACCTCACAATCATTGCCCAGAGTGACATTCCGACAGGTGACATTCCAATAGGCATGAGAGCACGTATTTACCGAGATATTATACTGCTCTGTCCAATGAGACTCCGCCTCCGTTATTCGCACCTTACGATACTTCTTCTCCAGATCATATAGCGACTCAAGACGCGCCTGCAGGCCAGTATTCGGTCTGTAGACCTGGCACATGATTTCCTTTTTGTTACGCGGCTCCTTCTTCTTTTTGGAATTATCGGAATCTTCACCAGAGCTGTTGCTGCTACTGATACTGCTTTCGGCGCTCGTTTCGGTATTTGAAAAGAGCACCACCATAATGACAGAGCGCCTGTGATTACGCGACTTATGGGATAGGTAGAAACCCTCGTAATCGTGATATAGATCGGCATATCTGTGAAACAATTAATTTTACATTAATATTAGGCATATATTTTTTGGAATAGCTTCCTTTCCACATACTTGCAAAGGGCATCCTGAAAGAACATGCCGCGATCCACTATTATCGTATGCAGGTCCGTGAACGCCACTCCGGTGGCATTACGTCGCTGAAAGCGAATGAGACGCAAGCGGGTCACATTCTCCTCCCCAGCAACCAAGTCTGAGAGCATTAAAAACCCTGTTTTAGGACAGTTCTTGTACATATAATATATAATCATTGAAGACTCACCAACAGAGCCATGATCGAAGTTACCGGCGCGCCTCGCCTGATGCATGATGGCTGACATGGTGTCGGAAAAATATTTGAAAATACGCTCCTGCAGGTCCAGCGGAAAACCGAGAATGCGTTTAAAAAACTTTGATAAGTTCTTGTAGTCTTTTATCACGCCGAGTTCTCCCGAATCGACCTTGCTCTTCATGATTATGCCCACGCCCATCAAGGCGCCAGCGATATCCTTAAAGAATTCGCCGCTATAATCCGCGGGAGGTGGAACCAGTGGCGTTACATAGCCCAATATGGTATGCATCATCACCTCCAGAGCCTGTTTGCAGTATTTGTTGTCCACATCGACTTTGGAGATATCACTGGCCTCGGTGGACCGTCGATCGCCATGGCTGATGGCACCCAGTGACTCCAAACGCGTGGCCACCAAGGCAGCTAAGTGTTGCTCCCAAGTTAGTTTCGAAATGATAAAGATGTACTGAGGGCAATGGGCCTAGAAGGGGGGTATTTAAATTATAAGGATATTATCTCACCGAACAAAGTCAAAATCAAGGTTCTATGCTCACCTGACTAGTGCGATGTGTGCGTCCAAATTGCTGTACTGCCTGGTTGACGGACAAGGGTAGCTCCAGCGTGATGTGCACTCGAGACCGCTTATTAGACATCCGACGATCGCAGTGAAGGGGGATACCACCAGTGGCCGGCTCCGATATAATGGCAGCATTTTTGTAAAGCATAAAGGCATTCTTCTCCTTTATATTCAGCAAATCCACCGACGCACGGGAGTTAATGCGCATATTGTACTTTAAGGAACCATCATCGTTCTCGACGAAACGACCTCGCCTCTCCGTCATCTCGGCCACAAATTCGGTGCCACCGAGTTCGTCGATAATCTGATCAATTGAATTTGACGGCAAAATTGAACCCAAGAGTTCAATTTTCCGCAACAGCTCGTGTTTTATGGTGTAGACACTCAGGATGGCATTTTTGCGCCTGCGTAACTCGGATTTGACTCTATTGGCGATATTTGTAGAGGAGGTCTCAGCGGCTGACATGGCATCGATGGTGATGGTGCTGGAGGAGGTGCTGGATGTAGCAGCCGCTTCTGTTTCCTGTTCTAGCTTGAGTTTCTTATTTTCATTTGTGACATCACTGCTGCTGGAGGAGAGATTTAAATTGTCATCGATGGCCATATCACTGTCCTTATCATCATTGTCGTCGTCATCCTCTTCGGCCTCATCATCCGCATCCTCCTCGTTCCTGTCGCTTCCGCCAGCGCTGCGCTTCTTGGTCTTGCCATTACTGGTGCCTTCACCCATCTGCTTGTTCACCACTTCAGAGCTGTTGTTGTTATTGTCCGTTGAGGAAGACTCAGGCTGCGAGGACGAATCATCCTTTATGCGGCGCATGAAATTGATCATATTGCGACTGGGCAAAGGAAAATGACGTTCCACAAGAGACTGAAAGACGCCTCTGAGGCAGGCAAAGAATGTGTTTAAAAGCATATAAAGTAAGAGAAAAGGGCAACATACTTGGCGCTATACACAAAGTCAATTGTCGCAACATCATCCGGCACTAATCTATCCTCGACTATGCCCCTCGTCGACTGCAGGCTAATGACCACATTCTTGCCATACTTGATGCACTCGCGGGCCATCAGGATCGCACGTTTGACCTTCGGGGCGAGCCACAGATACTTGAAGAATCGATAATGCGATGACCAAAAATGTCCCCACATGATCTTCCTCAGGCCGCGCTTGGTACCGACGATTTCTGCTGCTTCTTTGAAATTTTGGAGGGCTTCCACCCAGAGCTGCACGGATTGATCGTAGATTCTCAGGAACTCCTTGGTCACAGGCATCTCCTCGATCCGGAAGCTGACACCTTCGAAGCCCAGCTGACGGGCAATATACAGACCGCGAACCTTCAAGTCCATGCCCACAATCTCGATGGCACTACCGCCACTGCAAAGGTAGGGATCAGAGGTAGTCAGTCAAGATCATATCTGGTATACATATATATATATACTATTTCTTTCAAACTCACTGTCTCTCCATAGCTGTGTAGAAGTCATTAAAGCAACAAAATGTGTGCTTGCCATATCCCCACAAGCCCAAACGCACCATGAATCCCATATTCTTGAGGTCCGTGACACCCATGGCGGAGGCATACACCACCCTGGCCTTGGGTAGCTGCCCTTGCAGATCGAGCACAGCTTGACCTATCACTGTGGGCTCTTCCGAGTCAAAAGGACACAGATTCTTGGTCTTGTGGCACTCATCAAAGATAATCAGGCCATCAAAGTTCTGGCCGCACCAGTCCAAAAGCTGGCCGAAGCGCGTGCTATACTTGCCGGTCGTGTCGTCCGATTCCTCAATCAGCGATGAATATGTGCAAAAGATCATGCCGCAATCGTGAAACACCTGTGAGCTGATTTTTTCGTATTTGAAATCCTTCAATTCACGGATATAGATATGCGTGGCTCCGATAACGGCAAGATCACGCAAAATATCCGGTCGGACAAATTTGGACACAGTTATCCAGATGCCCTTTTGCCGTCCCCTCAGCCAGTTCTCATAGATAATGCCGGCAATGGTGCGATTCTTGCCCGCTCCTTCGCCATCGCCGATCAAGAAGCCCACACGACTGCCGTCCGGCAGCACGTGGTCATGGGCCTGCGCGGCATACGTTATAGTCTCCAACTGCATGCAGCTTAGTTCACCGCTTTGGATCGGTGCCTGGGGTATACCCAGTTGGTAATATATATCACATGGCTCCACGGAACCCAGGGATGTTGTCTCCACAACGGGAACGGGATGCTCCTTGCCCACTTGCACTAAGAAAAGGAACGTTGTTCCTCTTGAACCAACTCGGAAAATAAACAAGAAACTACTCACTTTTAGATGGCCAATACTCTTCATAGTCGGCCATCGCCATTTTGTCGTCGTTAACCTTTTCCGCTTCCGTTAACGTTCTTTTCTGATTAAAGGCCAACCGGCTAGAGATGTGAGAAGCCTTGTAGAGGTGGAGAAGCTTTGATGTCCGCGTATATCGATGTTTTTCGATGACTTATCGATGTGTGAGTAACAAGGACATTTTATTTTTGTGCCTTAAAATCGAGGTAAAAAATTATCACAAATATAAAGGTTTTACGGTAAAGTAAACAAAGAATGATATTTTATTGGTTTTTAAAATATCGATGCATCGTTGAAAACATCGCGTTTGAGTGAGAAAATATCAGCACCTGAAACAACTCTTGCCATACTAATTTCTTATTCGATATTTTAAGTCACACAAATATCGACTTAAAGATACCTCGCCAATATTTTAAAATTGCTTTCCAATAGGATATATCGCCAAAAATATCGTTTTCAAAATAATTTGAAAATATCGTTAACTAAAAATGTATGTAATTTTAACTATCGAAAATAAAAATACGGCAGTTTTCGTTTAAACATCAATTGTGATGTATCACAACGTCAGATTTCAGTGGCATCGATATATATATTTTCTATTTTGAAATTATATTCAATTTCAAAGAAAGGTTTTACCAGAACCAGTTACAAAACATACGTAAATGTTGGATAATCCCAATAAACAATTGCATATAATATATAAATTTTGTTAAATAGTCCAAAAATAAAAAAAACATTTAATTTTCATTTAATCCGCACATTTAGATTTATTAATTGTACGTACAGCTTACTTTCCTTCCTCCACTCTCTCTACACCCGCCTCCTTTCCCTTTTTTTAAGAGCTATCTCTCAATGTCTGTTGGCTTAACTTATATTTAATTATTATAACTAAATATATATATATTTTTTTATGTCTAATTACAACGAGAGCAGTCAGTACACTTTGCTGCTAATAGAAAAAAACAAGAAAAAAATGCAATGCCTTTGCTGGGGGGTTTTGTTACATTTAAAAACAAGAAAAAAAAAATAGTTCATTTATATATATATATATATATGTTCGTATGTCTATTAATAGGTATGTGTAATATGTACGTAATAATAGTAATAAATAGTTTACAAGGGTGACGGTTTATTCAGTGGTTTTAAACATAACTTGTATCATTAATTAATCATATAGAAATCATTGAGAAAAGTCCTTTCTTATAAGCGTTTTCATTTCATTACATTTCCTCTTCTGCTTTCTTTCCTTTTCTTTGTATTTCTTATATCTGTCATCTGTATATCTTAGCCAAAGTCTGGTTATTACATCTTCTTTTTTGTGTCCATTTTAAGGTAAGAAAAAAAAAAACAAACAAAATTATTGGGGAGTTTTCTCATGCACTCTTCACTTCTTGTCGTGTCAATTTACATACATATATACGCTATGTAGCGGTATCTTAACGTTTAGTTAAATTATTATTTATATATATATATATATATATATATATATATCTATATATATATGGATATATCTAGAGCCTTGATCATCCTCAGCTGGAAGGATACAAATTTGCATGCAAAAATCACACAAGAACCACTGGGGACGCTCAGTAGTTGAACTCCTCGTGTTTCTCGGAATCGCTGCGCAGATCATTCATCAATGTCTCGAAGCACGACTTGGGTATCAGGGTGCCCACAATCTTCTCGTCATCCGTCGTCTTCATTCGTATCACCTGCATCTTGCTGTTGGAACGTGTATTCAGTATATGCTCAACGCGACCCCAAACGGAGAGCACGGAGCCGGCTAGGACATGGTACAACCGCTGCCGCAAGCCCACCTACAAGGTAAGAAATTAAAGTAGAGTTTAAATTAAAGACCCTTGGGTTTATAATATCGTTCCGTAACTCACCTCACAATCATTGCCCAGACTGACATTCCGGCAGTTGCCATTCCAGTACGCATGCGAACACGTATTCACCGAGGCATCGTACTGCTCTGTCCAATGGGGTTCTGCCTCCGTCATTTGCACCTTCCGATACTTCTTCTCCAGCTCGAACAGCGACTCGTGACGCACCTGCAGGCCCGTATTCGGTCTGTAGATCTGGCACATTATTTCCTTTTTGCTGCGTGTTGCCTTCTTCTTTTTGGGATTGTCGGAATCTCCGGCTGTGCTGCTACTACTGCTGCTGTTCGTCGCGCTGTAAGGCAAGATAACCACCATGATGGCGGTGCGCTTTTGATTGCGCAACTGATGGGATAGGTAGAAGCCCTCATTCTCGTTGAAGAGATCGGCATACCTAGAGACAAATTAAATATTATGCATACAGTTCGAGGATGATCTTTCCTTTCACTTACTTGTCCAAAGCCTCCTGCCAAATCATGCCGCGTTCCACCCGCACCGTATGCAGCTCCGTGGGCGCCACTCCGGTGGCATGTTTTCGCATAAACCGTATGAGCCGCACGCGGGTTACATTCTCGCCCGCAGCACCCAAGTCTGTAAGGAATAATTAGCCATTGTTTTAGAAGAGTTCTTGTACATATAATATCCTACTTGAAGACTTACCCACTATGCCCAGATCGAAGCGACCGCCACGCTTCGCCTGCTGTATAATTGCCGTCATGGTGTCGGTAAAGTATTTGAACAAACGATTCTGCAGATCCACCGGACAGCCAAGAATCCGATTGAGAAACTTTGATATGTTGTTGTAATCCTTGTCTAGGCTGAGCACTCCCGGATGGCTCTCGGTGTTCACGATTATGCCAACGCCCACCAAGGCACCAGCGATATCCTTGAAGAATTCGCCGCTATAATCCGTGGGTGGTGGAACCAGTGGCGCCTCATAGCCCATTATGGTACGCATCACCGTCTCCAATGCCTGTCTGCCGTATTTGTTGTCTATGTTGAATTGTGAGAGATCACGGGTCTCAGTGGCCCGACGATCACCATGTGTGAGGGCACCCAGCGATTCCAAACGCTTGGCTACCGTGGAGGCAAAGCGCCGTTCGCCGGCTAGATCCGAAATGAGGAAGATGTACTCGGGGGCATTTACCTAGAAGGAAAAGGTAATAGAATTAATCTCAGAACAGAATCAAAATCAATGTTGTATGCTCACCTGATTGGATCGATGTGTGCGTCCAAACTGCTGTATTGCCCGGTCGGCGGACCAGGGCAGCTCCAGCGTGATGTGCACGCGACGCCGCTGATTTGCAACCCGTCGATCACTCTGGAGAGAGATACCACTGGAGGCTGCCTCCGAAATAATGGCCACATCCTTCTGGCCATTCATAAAGCGCTGCTTCTCCGTAATATTAAGCGTTTCCAGTGGCACATCAGATTCAATGCGCGACTCGTACTGTATGGAACCATCATCGTTCTGGACAACGCGACCCCGTCTGCCCGTCATCTCCGCCACGTTGTCGGGGCCACCGAGTTCGTCAATCAGTTGATCCAGAGTATTCGGTGGCAGGCGAGAGCCTAAACGTTCAATTTTACGCAAGAGCTCCTCCTTCATGGTGCATGCCCGCTCGATAGCATCTTTGGGCGGTGGCCCGTAGTTCATTTTGACGCCATTCACGCCAATTGGGGTCACAGTGCCCTTGAGCTCTTGCTTCTTTTGCAGGAGATCCTGGATCTTGTCCTGCGTGGATAGCTGGGATTTACGGGATTTTGCAGCATTGAGAGCAGCGGCCACAGCGGCTGACATGGCATCGGTGGTGTTGGTGGTGGTGGTGCTCGTCTTGGAGGATGTGCTAGATGTAGCCGCTTCTGTTTCCTTCTCCTTCTTGGGTTTTGTTTCCTTCTTCACCTTTTTCTTGGTCTTCTTTTGGTGACCTTCTTGGAGGATGACTTTTTACTGCGTGCATTTACCCAGGGATCAATGTCACTGTCGCTACCGCTGAAGAATGGATTGAAATCGGAACTGGCATCGCTGGCCACATCGCTTTCCGCCTCATGATCATCACTATCATCATCTTCGTCGTCGTCCTCATCTTCGTCTTCATCCTCATCATCATCATCATCGTCTGCATCGCTACGAAAGGCGGCATTGTCATCACTATTCTGTCCCTCATCGCTGTCACTGTTCTTTCGACGCTTCTGTTTCCTGCTGACCTCCGACTCCACGTCGCTATCACTGCTGCTGCCGCTGCGCTTCTTGAGCTTCTTGGCCTTGCCATTACTAGTGCTTACACCCTTTCGCTTGCTTGCCGCCGCTGCAGAGCTATTATTGTTATTGTAACTTGAGGAAGACTCGAGCGGCGAGGACGAATCATCGTAGAGTCCCAGAATGCGATTGATCCTATTGCGGTCGGGCGCTGGAAAGTGACGCTCCACAAAGGACTGGAAGACGCCTCTGTGGCAAGAAAGAACGCGTTTAAAGGCAAAGGAATATAATAAAGTAAAATCAACTCACTTGGCGGTGGACACAAAATCGGTTAGCTCTCCATCATCCCGCTCCAGTTGATCCAACGTGCGTGCCTCGCCCGTCGATTGCAGACCAATAACCACGCACTTGCCATACTTGATGGATTCGCGGGCCACCAGAATCGCATGACTGACCTTGGCTGCAATGCAGAGATACTTGAAGAATCGCTGATGCGATGACCAAAACTGTCCCCACATGGTCTTCTTCATACGACTCTCGGCATCGATGAGTTCCGCTGCCTCGGTGAACTTTTGCATGGCCTCCACCCAGAGCTCTACGGATTGATCGTAAATCTTCCGGAACTCCTTGGTGAGAGGCACCTCCTCAATCCTGAAGCTGACGCCCTTGAAGCTCAACTGTCGGGCTATGTACATGCCTCGCAGCTTCATGTCCATGGCCACAATCTCCATGGCACCAACGCCACTGCAAAGGAAGAGGTGTAAAGTGAGTTAATGTCATATATTGGTATAATTTTCCAACTCACCGTCTCTCCACAGCTGTGATGAAGTCATTAAAGCAACCAAATGCCGTGCCCTGACCCCACAGACCCAAACGCACCATGTACGCCATATTTTTGGGCTCCGAGGCACCCGTGGCGGAGGCATACACCACCCTAGCCTTGGGCAGCTTCTGTTGCAGCTCCAGCACAGTTTGACCGGTCTTTGTGGGCTTGCCAGAGCCCACAGGACACAGATTCTTGGCCTTGTGACACTCATCAAAGATGATCAGGCCCTCGAAGTCCTCGCCACACCACTGCAACAGCTGACGGAAGCGGGAACGATACTTTCCCGTCTTATTGTTCGATTCGCCAATCAGCGCCGAGTATGTGCTAAAGATGACGCCGCGCTTGCAATTGTTATTCACCGACGAGCTGATCTTGGCATATTTGAACTTGTTCAGCGCATGGACATTGATCCGACCGGCTCCTATATCGGCGAGATCCCGCTCAGCATCGTATTTGAGATCGTTGGACACGGATATCCAGAGGGCCTTCTTCCTTCCCTTTAGAAAATTCTCATAGATGATGCCGGCAATGGTGCGACCCTTGCCCACACCAGCACCATCTCCGATCAAGAAGCCCGCTCGACTGCCGTCCGGCAGCAGGTGATCATGGGCCTGCGAGGCATACGTTATGGACTCCAATTGCAGGGCGCTAAGCTGCCCGCTTTGGATCGTCTCCTGGGGTATATCTAGCCGGTAATAGACATCGCAGGGCTCCACAGAACTCAGGGAGGCTGTCTCCACCACGGCATCGGGATGCTTTTTGCCCAAGCGCACTAAAGAGAAGGAAGGGTCTCCGTTAAATAATTAAGAAATTGTATATAGAAGAAAACAACTTACATTTGGCTGGCCAATAGTCGGCATAGGTCTCCGCCACACCCATCTCCTCATAGTCCACCTCGTCCTCCTCCTGCTGGACATAGGCCACGGCAGAGGCGTGGGCAGCTGCTGCTGCTGCTGCCGCTGCATTGGCCGTCACCGGCATCGGTGGCATTATCGTTGGTGTCTGTGCCCTTTGGTTCGTCGATTGCAGGAAAAGCTGAATCGCATCGTTTGGTATACCGCTGGTCAGGTATTGCGGATTCAGGGCAATCAGTTTGCGCACGGCCTCCATCATGGTAATGTTGCCCTTCATGCCACCAGCTCCACCGCCAGCTGGTGTTCCTCCTCCACCACCTGCTGTTGTTGTCAGCTGCTGCTTGTTGATGGTGTTGCCCACGTTGGCGTTTCCTGGTGTTCCCGGTGTCACCTTGTAAGGACGAATGGGACTAACGCCGCCTGCATAGCTCACTGTAAGCAAATAGGTATAGGGAAAGGATAATGATGACGAAGATGATTTGTGGTTGGTATTAATAATTAAACACGACGACGACGACAACGACGACACCAAAGTGAGCGAGGGGGAAATAGGTACATTTCTTGACAAGCAGAGGAGCCTCCAAAGGGAAAGAGATGGCTATAGAGAATTGTGAAATATGGTAATCAGGAGATCGAGAGAGATAGCAAGCTATGTTTGAGAAGAAAGAGAGCTTACGAGAAAGGTTTTATACATACTATTAATAAATATGAACATATTTCAAGGGATTTTGATAAGCTCAACACAAATCTAACAAGATTTCCAATTTGCTAAGGGGATTTACACATACTTTTATACATTTTTCTATATGTTTTCGTAGGAGAACTCGTTTCTTATAATCTCAGGGTGCTCTTTCCAGGAATTCACAACTGTGCAAGGAAGGACAGGCTGTTTTACAAAAAGGGAAGAAAACAGTTGGCTTTATACAACAACATACAACATATTCTTTCTCATTCAGGACTTGAATTATGATTAAATTTGATAGAATACCTAAGCAAACCATACAACATATTTGCTAAACGATCTGTGCCTTAGTCAAGGGAATTAACAAAGTGATAAATCGGCATTCTTCTTGGTTGGTTACCAACATTAATCGACTTACTCTGCGCCAATAAAGACGCGGCCATATTGAAATTAGCAGCAGAGGCTGATGTGGTCGCTCCTCCTCCTCCCATGCCATCAAAGAAGGTACCACCACCGCCAGGTGAACTTCTCACCGAATTGGCAGCCGTGGACGGTGGCGGTGGCAATGGTGAGCTGTTTCCCTTGGCAGCCACATAGGCGGCCAAATTCATCAGTTCGTTGGTGCTCAGGCTGTTTAGGTAATTGCTGGTGGTATTGGTTCCACCTGACCCAAAGGCGCTGCTCATGCTGCTGCTGCTGCTGATGTTGCTACTGTTGTTGTTGCTGCTGCTGCTGCTGTTGGTGCTCCTTGCGGCAGGACTGCCCATGGCTAGTGGAGAGCAGCATCAAAATCCAGGGGAAATTACAAAAAACAAAACAAAACGACAACGACAACGGAAAATCCACAAACAAAACCAAAAGAAAAACAATCAACAAATATTGGTACAACGAAAAAGAGGTGGAAAAACCAGGTGAAAAGCAAGGTAAACCAAATGAGGAAAAGAGAGAAAGAGAGAAATATAAGGGAAGATTGGCATTAATTTTTTAATTGATCTTGGCTCAGGCTTTCGCTGTAGTTCGTGTTCGTGTTTTATTATTAATTAATATATTTACTATTATTTGTTATTATATCACTTACCCGTTATCGCATTATTCAGTTTCTTTGGCATATTGTTTAGGCTATTCTCTAGTCCACCACCCACTTTTCGGGCTATTATCGTTGGTATCGGTGTGATCTTTCCGCCCAAGGTCACGCCTCCGATTTTCGCTGTGGTCACGCCTCCAGTTACCACACCCGTGCCCACACCCTTTATCAGTCCCGCTGCTCCGCCGGTTGTTGTTGTTATTATCTTATTGCCGTTGCTGCTGCCGGTGATAATATTATTGTTATTATTGTTGATGCGTAACAACGATATTGGTTTAATATTATTCTGAGATATAACAATTTTTGGGCCAAGGGTGGAAATGTTGGCTATTTTGGGTATGCCGCCAGTTGCAGCGACAGAAGGAGCAGGTGCAGGACCTTTGGTCACGCCCACTCCGCTGCGTATGTTCTGGGCGTAGGTAACAGCAGTATTCAGATCGCGACCACCACCTGAAAGATAATAAATGAAAAGAGAAAGGGTTATTGAATACTGTTTGGTAAGGGTTTTATTTATTATATTATATATTATATTTATAATTATTATTAAGTGAAAAAAAAGTTTAAAAATCTCATAACTAACCCAAAAATGTATTAATTTCAATTCGGAAAGCTGTTCTGTATTAGTTTTTATCAGGTTTATAAAGCTACATACTCAGTTTGAGAAGTAAAAAAATTAAAATTTTAATCGATTTTTGACAATTTTAACGATGTAACCCCTTATAAAATTTGAAAAAAATTTTAAAAATTAATTTCTTCGTAAATATAGCTAGATATAGCTGATCAATAATATATATAATTTATAGGGTCGAAAATGATTCTTTCACTTAGTTTTAAGCGTCTAACTGAAATTATAATACCATTTTTTAATCGATATTAACTATATTTTATATGAAAATATTTTTAAAAAATCATAGTTTTAAAAATCTCATAACTAAGCCAAAAATCCCTTAATTTCAATTCGGAAAGCTGTTCTGTGCTAGTTTTTAACAGGTTAACAAATCTGCATACTCGGTTTAAAATGTTAAAAAATCCAAATTTTTATTGATTTTTTTTTTTTTTTTTAACGATATAAAATTTGAATAAAAAAATTTCAAAAAATTTTTTCTTCTGTATAAAGCTAGAAAGATTCGCCTGTTGATGCTGATCAAGAATATATATGATTTATGGGGTCGGAAATGACTCCTTCACTTAGTTTTAAGCTGCTGGACCTAACACTAGTTTTAATTTCCCATACTAAATAAATTACATTCAATCAGTCTAAGTTAGTTTAATATATATCTATTGATTGCTCACATTTGATAACAACTTAATTATATATTATACAAAACTAAATACCTTTGTTAAACAATGAAAATAGTAAGAAAAGTATTGCGATTCACACAAAAGCAATAATTAAAAGCTAAAGCCGTAAGGAAGGGAACGATTTTTTGTTATTATTGTTGTTGCCTGCAATTTGATTCAGAATTTCTGCAAAGCACGTGATTTCTCAATTGGCATCTTGTGAATATTTTATGAAATTCGAACACATTAATGCCTCCCGCCCCTGCCCCAAACATATGTATATATAACCTCTTTTGATACAAATCGAAGGCCTTCCTCAGATTGCCATTTCCGCTGCACAAATTGCAGACATAATCAGAGAGCACGAGGAAGAAGAGCACCACCTTCAGCACCACCAACCCTCATTTAAGGTAAATATCTAATTAATGAGCAAAGATAGATGGTACATATGTGCCCTCTTAAGTATATGCCATGTACTTGGGAGTCATCATATCGACTTAAACAGGGGAAGGGTCGTCCGTCTCTTCTTCTGTGTCTAAGACATAATCATAATTATTATAAGTATATGCTGCAGGAAGCCATGTACTTGTCCTCTTTACTCTGTCTCTCTATATATCTATATATATATAGTATATATATACACCTATGTATATGATTTGCACATGGGGGGGGGGGAAATCGTAATGTCATTACGATGCTCCTTTGGTCTGTAATTCCCTGCCTGATGTCGCGGTTAACTATGATGACCACTTCAGGCAACAAGCAATTGCAAATTCCAATTATAAAAACCACAAATGTTTAGAATTTCGTTAGCTAATCCATATCGAAAAAGGAGAATGATCGAGCAACAATAATCTGTTGATATTTTATTCAGTTTCAATCTATAAGAGACACACACACACACACACCTGTCAGAAGGCACCACTTGCGTTTTTAACACTCTGGACTCGATATTGCTTTCTAAATAATTAAGGATATTATATCCGCTTTCTTTTTTTATTACCAAGAACCTCATAGCCATTGGCCTTCGATTGTGTTGACGTTATATGAAGGAAACTAATCGGTTTTAATTATTCAAAGGATATGGATGTTCACGAATAATGACGCACGGTCAACCCAGCTCAACTCCCGTCTATATATATATCTATGTTATATATATACATATGGCTAAATAATCAGGGTTATGTGTTGTTATATACGCGTGACACACCATACTGGATACATATAGGAGTGGGCTTTGCGTATATACCTTATATATACCATCGATACCCAGCAGATCTCAAACAAACATGACATCCCTATCCTTGTATAAGCCTTCGAAAGGGGTAATTTCATAAATATTTCAGCGACTAAATGCTAAAAGGGTTTTAATTAATGTTGTTCAAGGATAACAAATCAATTGGAAGGGTGAAAGAGATTGATATTGGAATCTAGAGACTGGAAACTCTAGCTATTGTTTAGTTCAATAAGGAAAGACAGTATAATCTTTAAGATACGTAATCTCATATTATATTATATGTACTATATTATATATTATATATTTTCGGGGAATTACTAAAGCTCATTCTGCACATTCTATTGGCATTCAAATATTCCCTTTTAATTTATATCCAACTCTATTTACTAATATATTATGGGTTTACATAGAAACTCTTTCAATAATTGTTGGGAAATGTACACAATAAAACTTTACCCTACCTTCTCCTTACCCCCAACACTGATTGAAATGTCAACTCAGTGTTCAAGTTACTACTGACTGGCTCTGGCCAAACTCTATACCTTAGTTCAGCTACCTTTTTCTACCCGTCAAGCCCTTCCTGCTTTCACTCTACCCAGTCCCCTTTTTTTGGAACAAAAGGATCTACTCCTACTCCTACTCCTCCTCCTTCGCCTCCTGGCAGGCCAAAAAACTATACCATAAAGTTCTCAGTTCTCGGGCAGGAGCCTCCTTCTCCTACACATCTATACATCGACATCCAAAGGGTGCCTATAAAATTGTTGTCTAAACAATAGGAGAACAGGCTGCCGCCTCCGCCCAAATCCCTACGATAGGAGCCCCACTTTTCACCATTTTCATTGCAGGCGAAAATCCTCTTTCAGACCAAAAAGCCCAAGGTTTTAAGGCATCAAAAGTGGAATGTTAAGTATGTAATATTAGAAAGAGAAGAGACTCACCGGGCACTTCTATTAGATCTGGATCCTCGTCATCATCAAAATCGGAGCCTGAATCGTCCTCATCAATATCGTCGTCATCAAAGGGGGTTTTGCGTTTTTTTGATGTCTAAAATAAAGAGAGGATATTATTATTTATTGGGGGTTTTACGTTATTTTGCTTTAGTTTTTTAAAACTTATTAAATTGTTTTAATTACTAAGGAGAAATCATGAATAAGATCTTCAAATTTAATTATTTTAGAAGGTATTTAATAAATAAATATGAAGAGCTATTTGAATATTTTAATTATTAAGAAAAAATCAAGGGAAAGCTAAAAGAATTTAATTATTTTACAAGATATTAAAAAATTTAATTATAAACATAATAGGCAATATATATTAATAATAATTATAAGTACAATATAAATAATATAAATATATGAATACAAATATGACCATATAACATCACAATTATGCTTTAAAACCAAATAATTTAATAATTAATATACATTATATTTCCTTTTCTATGCCATTACTTAAATTTATGACACCAAATTATTTCCAGTGCACCGGAAACCCTCAAAAACGCGAACACAAAATCGATATTTTCATAGTTTCATAGTTTTTGTCAGATTGAAGTCCTTTTTAAAGGGAAAACACACACAAACACACACAGGACACTATATGAAATATAAGGGGGAATCACCCAAAATACACACACACACACACACACACTCTTTTTCTCTCTTTAGCGAAAAGGAAACAAAAACAAAGCCGTGCAAATGTCATAGAAAAGAGCGGAAAAAAATGGTTCATTTTTGTAGCACACTTTTCAGCGTCACAGGACACGGCAAGAGAGGCAGACAGAGAGAGAGCGGAAAAAGAGAGTGCGGTGTTTAGAAAAAACGGCACAAAAAGCACGAGGGAAAAAATTGCGCACGCCGCGTGAAAGAAAAAAAATAGGAGAAAGATTCAAGCTCAAAAAAAAGGAAGAAAAGCAAGGAAAGAAACTCACTCACAGAGCTCGGGGGAAAGTCTGGCAAGACCAGCGGTCAGATGCTGCTCGTCGCCGTAGCGATGAGGTTCTGGTATGCTCCGGCTCTGGTATGTCCTGATTCAACTGATGGTTCAGATATCTCTAGATATATATAGACACTAATAACGGAAATTTTGCGACTGATTCGATGCTCGTGTGGGAGCCAACTACATCGCTAACTAGAGTCAGGCCACGACCGGGCCACCGGGCTACTACTTTGGAACCCCCAAAATGAAAATTTAACATTCACACACAGCCCATCCAGCGAATATATCCATGCCCAGCCCAGCCCAGCCCAGTCGGTTCAGTTGGGTTGCACTTATTCGGGGAACGGGTTAAAGGGGGTGCTGCTGCCGCTGTTGCTGCCACTCCCGGGGTTAAGCCGAGGTCCGAATGGGGTGGGTTTTTGGCCAACATCTCTTCGGGACCAGGACAGAGTGTGCTGTGTATGCCTGTGTGTGTGTGTGTGTGTGTGTGTGAGACTACGGTCAGGAGACGACGACAGTCAAGCAAGAAACGCAGAACTGGCAACTGGGAACAGGACGATAAACAAACGCGAGAGGACAACTCCTTGCCACCCCCTTTGGCACAATAGCAACTGGGAACAGTGGTTAGCTTCAGTTTCTAATTGTTAATTTAAATTTACATATTCCTAGATACATTTTTAACATATTAAAAAACCCTTTCTTTAATATTTTGCTTAATACTTTTGAGTGCTCGCTCGACTTTAATGTCCTGCCTGCAAAGTACAAGCATATAACAAAAGTTGGTAGAACAATAGAGGTCCTCTATCTGCTTTACTATATTAAAAATATAAATATACTTAAAAAACTAACTCTTTTTGTTTTATTCAAAGCGTTTTCTATAACCTCCCTGTTCTGCTAACAGTTTTACTAATTTTAATTTTCTAGCAATTGCTAAAGGCTTCTTGATAGCCACATTTTCCGTTTCTTAATTAATTAATTTGGATTTAAAAACCTAAATCAATTGAAAACTTGCATATATCAGCGGCCACTGTACCCTTGTGTATGTCCGTCCAGGACACACTGTGCTCCACTTTAAACCGACAACAAAAGGGGTTGGAATGTTGTTTTGCACATCCCCTCTCCCCCAACCGCCCAGGATTTTATACACCACCCCTCGGTGCCACCCACTTGGTTCAGCGAAGCAACAACAACAACATGTTTGGCATGCAGAGATACCAAGTTTGCTCCTTTTATGAGAACGGAATATGCATGTGTGCCCGCCTCCATCCTACTCTCACTCCAACCCCCTATGGTTCTTCCTTCTCCTCATCCTGTTTAAACAAAAGGGTTACCAGAGAAGGAGATAGAGGAGGAGAAGGAGGATGGATTGGGTGTGCTGTGTTGTTGGAGGAGCAGCAATCTGTAGCGCATGCACAGCAATTAGAGCAAGACAGACTGCTGCTGCGGCTGGGGGAATGTCCTTGGGGGTGGTCCTCCGTTTTGGGACGAGGGACCTGGCGCCGGGTCTGGTTGGCTCTCGTCATTCGATGGCTATATGCGTCCACATATATACACCTTATACCTCTGTATACTACACACTCTGGCGATGGGGATTGGGGAGGTGCTCCCAAATCCAGAGCAAACACAACCAGGCGGCGAGCCAAGTGCATGTTGCATGGTACAGTGAACCCACTTGATGGGGGAAACATGCTGATAATCACAATAGTATATCAGGATACCCAAGATTATTTTCTCGAATTTATTGTAAATTATATTTTATTAAAGAAGCTAAAATAAGACTTATTAATAAGCATCGTGTTGCCCAAAAAATCTTGCTTAACTTTTGTCGAATATTATAGTTAGGAATTTACATGTATCGAGGGGAAAAGTCCGACTGATATATCCACTAAAATATATCACTTAATATTATATCAAAGCAAGAAAGAAAGCCGAACTTTATATACCCTCGAAGTTTTTAATTAAATTAGTTGATTGATTTCAAAAAGTTTCGCATTATTTTAATGGATATTTATTGATATATTTATATGACGAATTCTTGGACAAATCCAATTTTTAAAAGCTCATAACTAAGTCAAAAAAGCATAAATTTTAATTCGGAATGCAGTTCTATGTTAGTTTTTATTAGGTTTATAAATCTGCATACTCAATTTTACATTTCCAAAAATTCCAATTTTTTATCAATTTTTACAATTTTAAATTTTAATTTTAAATTTAAATTTTCAAAATTTTGAAAAAAATTAAATTTTTGTCGAACATGTCTAGATCGATTCGCCTTTTGATGCTGATCAAGAATATATATGGTTTATAGGGTCGGAAATAATTCCTTAACTTAGTTTTAAGCTTCTGACCAAGATTAGTATACCCTGCAAAGGTATAGTATTGTAAATTATGATATAATAAAATTGTAAATATCGAAACTCCCATTGAAAACTGACCCGCTCTTTGCTTTTTACTCCTCAGCCTTTTATTCAAGTTTCCTTCTCAAAATAAAGGTATCTGAGTTTCCGTAACTTAAGCTTCGTAATCTTTATTAAAGAATAAAGCACACACAAATCTACAGGCTGTGCAGTTTTCTCCCAAAACACCCCCTTTCTCCTTTATTCTCCTTCCACCCCTGTCTATTTATAGATTTGCAACATTTTTGTGTTGACACACAAAATAAAATCAAAACGAATGACCTTGCAATAAAGGAAATGCTGAAAGTCTCTTGTCCGAAAACATATGTTTTGCCACCCACCCAAACACACACAACATACACACACACACACACACAGGGAACAAGAGCAACATCAACATGTTGTTGCCTTAAAAAAAAAAAAGCAACACACTCATATAAAAATTAGGAGAAAAAAAAAACAGGAACTTCGACAAAGGGTTGGCGAATATAAAAATAAAACAAAAACTGAGGATAAAGGCTCTCCAAAAAAAGAAACAAAGGAAAAGCTGAAAAGCAAACAAATAAAATGAGGGAAAAAAACCTGTAAAACTGTAACAAAATGTGACAGAAAGGGACATGTGAGGCTTTGTCTATGACAACGAAAGGGATAGAAATACACAGGACATAGAGGGACAGAGAAAGAGGGAGGGAGAGAGAGAGAGAGAGAGAGTGGGGAAGCTAGCAGGAGAAGGCGATTTGGAGCTGACCTGACCAAAGACACAAACCAGAGAGCGCAGGCGCCAGCCAAACTCCGAATGCAGCGACCAAAGCGGAATCAACGATAAATAGCCAAGCTCCGAAAACAAGGAGGGAAGGATTGATGTCCTTACACCCTCCACCCACCCCCACCCATCCAATCAGAGGCCCAAAACTGCAACGGCTTTAGGTAAGCAGCGCAGCTTGTGGGAGGGGCAATCAAGTGCAGCAGCAGCAGCAGCAACAGCAGCAGCAGCAGCAGGTGCAGTTACTGCAGTTGCAATTGCAGCTGCAGCAGGTACAAGGTACAGTGAAGACCCCAAGGCAAGAATTCTCTACAAGGGAAAAGAAATCACAAAAAAATAAGAGATTTTTTGTTGGGGTTCCTGACCCAGCTTAAAAAGGGGGCACGTTTCTCCGAGGTGGCGGTCACCACTAAGCAACAAGTGACAAAAGAAATCAATTCACAATATTTAAGGGTTTCGATATAAAAAGGAGTACAAATAATAAAATAAATAGAGCTTAATTTATAAAATTATGTTAGTTGAATTATAAGGTAATTCTTTAATATTTTTAGAAAAAAAAGCCGATAAAGTTGCCTAGTTTTAATTTGTAAATAAATACTCTTTGAAATCTCTTACAAAACTTCGATCACAACAAAGCTTAAAATATTATCTATATTTTTTATCTAAATTTTGTCAACAAATTAAAGTTTAAAAAACTCAAAACTTATCCAAAAATGCATTAAATTTAAATCGGAAAGCTGTCCTTTGATAGTTTTTATTAAATTAATAAATCTGCATACTAAATACAAAATTTTACAAATTCGAAAATTTTTATGAATTTTTGACAATTTTAACGACGTAACCCCTTATAAAATATTGAAAAAATTTCGAAAATTTATATTTTCACCAACCATGGCTAGATCGATTCTCCTGTTCATGCTGATCAAGAATATATATGCTTTATAGGGTCGGAAATGACTCCTTCACCCATTGTGAAGCTTCTGACTGAAATTATAATACCATTTTTTGATCGATATTAACTATATTTTTATATGACAATTAAAAAAAATCATAGTTTTAAAAATTTCATAACTAAGCCAAAAATGCATTGATTTCAATTCGGAAAGCTGTTCACTGCTAGTTTTTATTAAATTAATAAAACTGCATACTTCATTTAAAATGGCAAAAAATAATTTTTTTTTTAGATTTTTGATCATTTTAACGATGTAACCCCTTATAAAATATTGAAAAAATTTCAAAAATTTATTTGTCCACCAACCATGGCTAGATCGATTCTCCTGCTGATGCTGATCAAGAATATATATGCTTTATAGGGTCGGAAATGACTCCTTCACTGCGTTGCAAGCCTCTGACTAAAACCAAGGCTACATAAAACAATGATTTCCAAGAATTAATTTCCAAAGCCCATCGAATCATGTGAATCCCCTAAATATTATAATTTGTTTTTGTCAGCGGATCATGTGAATCCCCTAAATATTATAATTTATTTTGTTAAGTGCCACAATAATAAATCTAACATAATTCTTTTGTTGTTGTTAATTTTTAGCCATATTTTTATTAAAAGTTAAAAACAAAAATATATATATAACTATAATTTCTGAATAAAATATGCACGACGGCACCCAACGCACCTTAACACACATGTTGCCCCTCAAAAAAAACTGAGTCGCATGGCCTTAACCCTAACCTAGCGCAACTTTTTCGCCCAACTCGTGTGCGGAGAACAAAAAAAATATATTAAATCTCAATGTGTGCGCGCGAGACAGAGACAGCAGCAGCAGCAGCGGCAGCGGCAGAGGAAGAAGAGAGCTGAAAAAACACATGGTTCCAGAGTTCCAGGCCACGCGAAAATGCGAATTGCAATGGAAATATTAAACTCCAAGTAAAATATAGGGGGAGAGTGGGGATAGAAGAGAAAAGAAAGAAGCAAGAAAAAAAATAAAAATAATTCTTGAATGAGTGGCGCTGACTGGTGCTGCTGCTGCTGTCGATGCCGTTGCTTTCTGCTCCTCATCTTCTTCTTCTACTTCTTCCGCTTCTGCAGGCGCTTTGTTTTTGTTTATGCATATGTGTGTTTCAAGTGCGTGCGTGTCAGCATGTGTGTGTGGAAAATGGCAAAAAATTTTGAGCAACAAAGAAATTATATTAAGTCATGCAGTGGCAATAACAAAATCAGAAAACAAACAAAACTAAACAGCGGCCTGCGCTTCCAACAAAAACTTACCATTGTGATGCTTCTTCAATTTGTTTCAGTTAACTGTTTTTGTTGTCGTCGTCGTCGTCTTTGCCGTTGATGTCCGCAGCCACTATTAATGTTGTTGTCAAGCACGCAAAAAAAAAAAAAATAATAATGTGCAACAGCACTAAGCACACGCGTTTTCCCACTCTTTTTCACCGAAAGTTTTTTTTTTGTGTCCGTTCTTCTGTTTGTTTTTTAACTCCAACTGTTCGTCTTGGCTTCTTTTTTACCGTTTCCAGTGCTTCTCCAGCTCTTCGGTCTTATTCGCTCTCTTCTGGGACCGTGGAGCCGATGATGAACGGTGGTGGCGGCGTGTGTGTGTGTGTGCGAAAGGAAGCAAACCAAATGGGCGGCCAGCCAGTCAGCAAATGCAGCGAAAAATACTCCGCAATAAATTTCAACGCGACAATGATGGGCGCGCGGTGTGGCGGAGTCGCGGAGGGCGACCAGCAAATGCGATTGTGGTTGTGAGTTTTGTCCGCGTGTGTGTGTTGTTGCCTCGCCTCCGTGCACGCGGTATCGTCCTGCGTTCAGCCTGTGGTTTTTGTATTTGTTGCGTTGCAATCACAGCGGCGGCAGTAATAACAATTAAGGCGGCAACAACAAAATAAAGGAGAAAGGAATCGAAAAGGAAGCTAGAAATGCCGAAAAAACACGTAACATGCCAACAACGAACGGCACCGCGTTGTCTTCACTCTTCTCTTTTCACACTGGTGTCTCGGCGTGTCTGTGCACGAAGTAGTTGGCGTTGCGCTTTTTGCCACTTCAGTAATTCCACATGCACTACGTATTTCAAATCGTAACGCCGGCGCTAGAGCCGCCTGCGTGCCAAAGATAAACACGGTTTCGTCAAAATTCGTATTTTTTGCTTGTTAAAACACGAAAAATCCGACTGTGTGCGAGATGCAGTGTGGCAGCAAACTGGCCGAACGAAAATACCAACGTGAACGTGCAACTTTTAATCGGAAATACATCAAATATACCAAACGAGCTAAATGGTATGACCTGTTGGAAATATACCAATGCGCAGCAGTAGGCATACTAGAATGCTAGTAATTGAAAAATAAAGTAATACAAGCATGGTGGCATCAAAATTAATTAAGGAATTTGTAATAAATTTGTTTAAAATTCGAAATGAAGCCTATATTTACCAAATGTTGTACATTTCCATATGGTTTTCATGCGCTTTACAACACTTATTTTGAGCTGGTGGCGGGAAGCACAGAGAAACCCACGAGATCTGCCAGAACAATCTGGAAAACGAATGTTAATACCGAAGCAGGTCTGATAACTAACGTTTCTTCGAGCAAACTACAATAATTTGTAATCCAGCTGGTAGAAACTTCACCAATTGCGACTATTTGCTGTTTTCTGGTATATTTTAGTGTGCGACCATTTCCTGATTTCTGGTATATTTTAGTGTGCGATGTTTTTTAGCACATTTCAGGAGCAAGTACTACGCCACATTACCGACCACGCTGCCGCATAATATCAGGCATCTGTACAAAATTCGGTAAGTGTTTTTTTTGTTGGCACCAATTTCGCAATCTATCGTCACCGACGCCACTTGACCGCCGTCTCATTGCAGAGGTAGGAACCAGAGAAGGGAGAGCAGGCCCATACAACGTCCAGGGAGTGGGATCGAAACCGTAGCGAGACTTCAGCGGAAATAGAAAGAAGCCGCCGCCGTCAAAGCCGCCTAAAGATTAATTGAACGTGTGACCGTGAAGGATATAAAAGAAGAAAAAGACAAGATGCCCAACGACACGGTTATTAAGGTGCAGGAATACAAGAATACCTTGATCCAAAAGGCGGAGCTGCTTATTACCAAGCGCTTTCCGGAGAAGATCGTTTCGCTGAACGAACTGCTGGCCACGCCAATGTTCAATGAGCGCAACTTCGATGAGGTGCATCAGGACCTGAACATCCCGGCCCTGCCGCCAGTGCTGGTGAAGCAGGAGACCGCCACCGAGGATGGTGATCATCCGCCAACAAAGCGTGCTCGCAACGATGTTCTGATTAGTGGAGTGCCGGTTCTGGCGCTGCCATCGGGCACGGTGCCGTGCAACAAGCCGCTGTGCGATATGATCAAGGTGGTCAAGCCCATCATCCGTAAACTGGTGGAGGATTGTAAGTATTTGGTGGCATCTTTATAAACCTTTCCGATTCCTACATGTGTGTTGTTTTTTTTTGCAGCCAACTTGCTGAAGATGTGGATCTCGTTCATGATTCCCAAGATCGAGGATGGCAACAACTTTGGTGTATCCATTCAGGAGGATACCCTGGCCGAAATCCAAACTGTTGAGTCGGAGGCAGCCGCCTTCTTTGATCAAATCTCGCGCTACTTCCTATCGCGCGCCAAGGTCGTGTCCAAGGTGGCCAAATATCCGCACATTGATGATTATCGCCGTGCCGTCGTCGAGCTGGACGAGAAGGAGTACCTCAGCCTGTGGCTCGTAGTCTGCGAGGTGCGCAATCGTTACTCATCGCTCCACGACACAGTGATGAAGAACCTGGAGAAGCTGAAGAAGCCGCGCTCCTCCAACGCCGAGAGCCTCTACTAGGTACCACATCGTGCCTCTCCATCTTCTACACTTCTATTTTTTTTGCCCCCACTCTCTATCACACACTCATAATCCACGGAATCCTCCTACACCCTTCTTTTCCCATACAAACCAGCCCGTAGAGCGGACGAACGAACTAATGTAACAAACGAACGGACGGACAGCGATTCTCGTCGCGATTCTACAACTCGAAAGATGTCCAATAATCGGTTTTCACAAGCAACTTGAACATGAATCGGCATGCATCGATTTGACAGTTCAATTTCCAGTTAAATTAGAGTCCGGGAAAGGGTAGAATATACAAGACAAAAACCGATGCTGTATAGATTCCACTAAATAGCTGTAGCTACTACATACATTTAAATAAATAAAAAAAAAAACAAAAACAAACACACACACACGGCGCATGGAAATTGTCGGCCGACTTAAAATCCTAAGTATGGAAACGTCTTAAAGCTCGACACTTGAAAGAAATATATACAAAACCAATTTGTAATAAAACCTAAGACTTCTCATCATTTTGGCAGAGTATTAAAATATTAAGAAAGTGTCTTATTTATATTAATTTTAATTTATTTTTTAACGTTGGCGCCAGACCTTGAAAAACTATCGGCGTGAGGCCACTCTCCCTTTGTGTTTCGATAGCAATTACGATAGACAGTCGTGTCGAGTCTCAGAGCAGCCACCTTTTCTGTTGCAGAGCCCAGAGCTCTCACAGCTGCAACACCTCAAACATGTTTGAACCGTTTCGATTCAAACTCAAAATTCAAAAATTCTGTGCTTAATTTTTATTCAGCTTGAAGCTTGAAACTGAGTGAAGGAGTCATTTCCGACCCCATAAACTATATATATTTTTGATCAGCATCAACAGGCGAATCTTTCTATATGTATCCGGCGGAAAATTTTATTTTTCAACAATTTCTCATTTTTCTGAAAAAAGGGGCTAAAAAAAATGAAAAATTGGCCAAAAATTCACATTTTAAATAGAGTATGCAGTTTTATTAATCTGCTAAAAAGTAGCATACGAACGCTATCCGAATTAAAATTAATGCATTTTTGGCTTAGTTATGCGTTTTTTAAAACTAGTATTTTTTTAAATTGTCATACAAAATATAGTTATTATCGATTAGAAAATGGTATTCTAATTTTAGTCAGAAGCTTAAAACTAAGTGAAGGAATCATTTTCGACCCTATAAACCATATATATTCTCGATCAGCATTAAAAGGCGAATCGATCTAGCCATGTCTGGAGAAAAATAAATTTTATAAGGGGTTACATCGTTAAAATTGTAAAAAAATGAAATTTTTAAACAATTTTTATTGAGCATGCAGATTTGTTACCCAATAAAAAACTAACACAGGAAAGCTTTCCGATTTGAAATTAAACCTTTTTTGACTATGTTATGACTATTTTTAAAATCTTGATTTGCCAAAAAATTAGCATGTAAATATATAGATTTTAAATATTTAAATATTTATGTCTTCCTAGAAGCCTAAAAAGGGTATAGAATCTTCTACTTACCACAGTTCAACATTAACTTCAAATTCAACAAATATAAATTGTTTAAAAAAAAGGCATGGTATATTAAATAGATAAAGACAAGAATAATTACTATTTACAGCTAGTTACTAAAGCATATCGTAATATTATTTACAAACTAATTTAACTACAAAACGTCTACCTCCCACACACAGACATCATACATACATACAAAAACGTGCAATTATCTTCTCATATTTAAAAATGTTCTCTTCTTAATATAATTTAAAAAAAAATAGTATAAAAACAAATAGAAAGATAAACGAAATAACGATTATTCTGTTGCTTGTGTATTTAATTTTTTTTTTTTGGGCCATTTAAACATAGTTTAGTCCTTAGTTAGGCTTTAAGTTTGTGCTAATACTTTCGTTCTTTTTTATAATTGTTTTTCAAGATGTGTTTATGAATCTTTTTCGATTTCGAATCGATATTTCTTCTAGTCGATTGGCAGTGTTTATATAGATTTTTCTTGTGTATGCTATATTCGGAATTTTCGGTGTTTCTTTCTCTGTTTTTTCGTTCTCCTTAGCCTAGCTTAGCATCGATATTATAACTTATAACTTATATATATGACAATGAACATTTTTACAAAGAATTTTTTCAACGTTTTGGGGGCTTAGCTAAATCGTTAGACTAAGTTTTAGAACAGAACATTAGCGAAATATCATGGAATATTAAAAAAATCAATTGATAAAGTCACCAAAAGATGGGCCATGAGATATTTTAGTGCTCCAGGAGGATTTTTGTTTTTTTCAAATAAAATAAGGTATAACATTTTGTGGCACACTCTTTGGTGACATTTTAAGTGATTTCAAAACCATAGGAATTTTTGTGGTACTCCTGGTTTTTGAATTTAATTTTAGAATTTATTTTTTTTATGTATTAGTGTGGATTTATTGAAGAGATTTCAAAAAGCCCGGAAGGTCTCTTATGAAATAGAGATATTTTGAACATATTTTTAAGGTAAAATAAGTTACTTTTAGAAGGATTTCAAAACTATCGAAAATTATCTTTTGAAAAAATTAAATTTTTAAAATTTTTTTAAAGGTTTTCGTTTTGTTTACAAGGAGTTACTCCTGATCTCGCTTCTGCTCAGAACTAAACTTAGTCTGTTGCATTAAGTAAACGAAATGGCACATTGAACCACAACCCACATGATCCTAACCCCTCCTCCTCTTCTCTCCTCTCCTCTCCTCTCCTTCCTTCCCCCCTCTTCCCCCACTTACATGTGACCCCACCAGGCGGCGCTGGCCTGGTAGTAGCCATCATTGCCCCAGCTTAGAATGCTCAGCGGTGGCGGAGGTGGCGTTAGTGACTCCACATCCACATCGCTGTCATTATTGTTGTTACTATTATGATTATAATTATTATTGTTATAATGGTTCTTCTGGTTGTTCGGAGCTTTGCGCCAACCCTGACGTGTAGGCGGTAAATGATGCAGTGCAGCAGTTAGGCGGCAATGCCGTTTCCGCCTTCGTCGCACCAAATCCCAGCCAACGGTGCCCTCTTGTTAGAAAACATGATGCGTGTTTTTATTGGGCGCCAGGAAGGGTTTCTCCTCATTCATTTTCTCCAAATTGCCGCTAAGCGTGGGATCCGTGGGACGAATTCTCTTGAAGAAGCCACATTTCCAGAGGCAATACGTGAAGAGGGCCAACAGGAGCAGGCCACCAACGATGCCCAGGATAATGATAAGCCAGGGTATGGAGGTATCACGCTGTTGATTCCTTAACTCGGGATAGGCACGGGTCTCCACCTGATGGGGGGTATATTATATATTATAATCATATCTATAAGCACGAATCTTATAATCTTACCTCACAATCATTGAGCTCCATGACCTCTACACCATAATCCTCGGGTATTCGCGCTGTGGCCGAGGATATAATCCGGACACGATCCACCCGAGGATATTCATTGACCAGCGTGGAGTTCCACAGGCGTGCAGTGACCACCACTTGGGCCTCGGATCGGGCGGGCATATTCCATATTTCACAATCAATTTGTATGCAACGCGTGGTGCCCTTGTTGCAATCCAATTCTACAATATCCTGTTTCTTGCCATTGCCATTGGCATTGCCAGCGGCATTGGAACCACCTCCTTCGGGGTCATAGGTGAGCCTCTCCAAGCGGGTCACACGCTCCAGGAAGCTACGTTTTATCCTATTCTGATTCTGTGATCTTGTATCCTCTTGATCCTCCTGATCCTCATGGGAGTAATAACTCCTTTGTGTATGCTGCATACTCTTATTCAACCGCCTGCCACCCACTGCCGATGGATACATACGCATCTGTGCTGGGGCACTGAGATAACCCTGAGCCTCCCTTGAGCCCGTTGTGAGTCCCAAAGGATTGACATATTGCGGTGGCACACGACACTCACCCACACCCACCTCCACGGTGGGTATTTGTTCCAAATACAAAAGATATTGATCCAGGCGATTGCTCTGGGGATCACTATACAAGGCCAAAGGCCAATGGATAACCATGTGTACCTTGGGTGCCGTGGAGGGACCATCATTGAATACGGTAAAGCTATGGCTAACCTGAGAGCCCACATCATCCATTTCCATGGGAGAAGTTGCAGAGGATGAAGAGGATCCATCTGAATCGGAACTGGCAGAACCGGAAGTTGCACCTTGGTTACCCTTCTTCATGGTGGCTGCACTATAGAAACTCTGCTCTGGCTTGGGCCAACCACGGAAATTGAGCTTAGCCTGACGCACCACCTTCACCAGGAGATCCCTCTCTGGTGGCTCAGGGCCCACCAATTTAGAGGTGGTATTGGCAAAGATATGGAACAACATGGATTTCTCACCCGGTTCCAAACCCTTGGGCTGGAAGCGTATGGTCACAAAGGTGGTGGCACCACGTAGCATCGGATTACCCAGACTGCAGGCCACCAAAGTGGTATTGAAGCTATTGCAGGTGGCATTGGTCTGGAAAGGATTTACACAAAGGAATTATATAAATTAATCAAGAAAGTAAATAAGAAGGTGATCCCACTTACCGGCTTCTTGGTGGCCACATAGGAGACTCCCGCCTGATGTTGGATAAACAATTGTGCCTCATAGGCCGAATCCGCCAGATTGCTTACATTAATGCGCACCTCCAGTTCCGTTTCATCCAGAATCAAGGTGTAATCCTTGCCAGAACGTGTGATATTTGGCTCTGCACGTATAATCAAATTACTCTCACAGAGATCATCATCACCACAATCCTTTTGGAAGGTTCCCTCAAAGTCAATATGTGCCTGCGTCTGATCCAGAATGGGATTGAGATGTACCAAAGCGGTCTCCGCCAGAGGAGGCTCCACCAGCGAGTATTTCAAGCGGAAACGCACTGGTGTCTGTATATCCCTGGTATTGGCTTTGATATATCCCGTGACCCTTTGACAGGCCACCTTGCCATCCGTTCTCACTGTAACCACACGTCCAAGGACATTACTCCGCTTGTTCTCACGATCAAAGAATACTCTGGAGAATTTCTTGGCATGATCAAAGGTCTCCGCTTCCACACTGTAGGCCAGCCGGAGCTCCTTGCTCTTCTCATCGTAAGGATCAATGCTGCAGCAGGCCTCGAAGGAGAAGCAGGTGAGATTGCTGGAGGCATCCGCCTTGCAGCCCGGCTGATTGGGATCCATATTCAGGAGCTCCTCCTGCCTGACACTCGTCTGGATGCTGATGATGGGACGTGCCAGGAGTATAATTGCTGCCGAAGAGTTAAAGGCACCAATGACCACATCCGGATATGAGTTATCATCAAGATCCGTATTGCCTGAAATGGAGATGCCAAAGGTGCGTATCGGTGGCTGTCCCTGTGGCATAATGCCACCCAAATCCTCGGCCTTGATCTTCTGCGCCGGCTTGGTGTTTAGTCCTTGACGAGAACCCAGATAGATGTACACAACGCCTCTGTCCTCGTAGGGTGCACCCACGGCCAGATCATCGCAATGATCCTTATTCAAATCCCCAATATTGGCCAAAGCCAGACCAAATCTACTCTCCAGTGTTCCTGTCAGCTTCTGGGTATATTTCAGAGGCAGTGAATCCTTTTGATTCTGATACACATACACTGCTCCACCCTCGGATTTGCTGAAGTACAGAGGAGCGGCGACAATAAGATCCGGCTGATGGTCGCCATTCACATCCGCGGTGGCCAGTTCATAGCCAAAACTGGAGCCAAACTGTTCACCATCGAGAATCATATGCACCGGTATGGGATTCTCACTGGACTTGTCGAAGATCACCACCTGACCATGACCCTCGGAACGGGGTGCTCCCGCCGCATAGGACATGTGTCCAAAGAAACGTCCACCTGTGACGGACATTCCCAGGTAACTGTATTTATCCACCGGTGATCCCACATCCGCATGATTGCTATAGTAGGTGGTCTTATCCCGCTGCAGATATTCGCCACCCACCTGGGTCACCCAGATGGAACCGCGCCACGTGGAGGGTCCAGGTGAGCCCAGAACCATGGTGTCATCATCCAGAAGAGCACCCGATGTGCCCGCCTGGCACATGCCATAGTCCTCGTGTTGTCTGTGATGGAGAGATGGGGAAATAAAATTAATAAACCTTATATTTAATTAAATCTCTAATAAACCTCTACTGTATCTCTATTAAATTCTCTTTAAAGTCTCTTTTAAATCTCTTTTAAATTCCCATCTTAATCTCTTCTCATCGTCATCTCAATTTCTCTTAAATCTATGCTAAGTTCCCTTATAAAAATTTTGAAAAAAAAACAACCCAGTAAATTACACTATTTCATATATTATTCCACTATATTGTACTATTCCATATATTATAGTATTATAAATCGTCATTTATAAGTTCCCTGAAATCCCACAAATATCTTTCGAAAATCTCACTAAAATATCTCTTTAAAGATTTCTGAAATCTCTCCAAAATCTTTTTTAACTCTTTTTAAAAAGTATTTTAAAAAAGTTTTTCTAAAATCTCTCTAAAAACTATCTCTTAAATCTACTTTAAAATTATCTAACCAATTTATAGTTTACCTTAGAAAACCAAACCCCTGAAAAGAGTCCAAGGTCATTCCTTATCTGCATCACGTAACCCCCCATCCATTGGTCCTGCTTATTCCCGGATTGGGACACTCTAATAGATGACCATGGTCAACTTAGGGACTCTTTGGCTTAGGACTATCTTAATTTTCCTGCCATTTGCCTATTCCCGAATGGAACTAAGTGTGTCTGTGTGTCTTTTGGACATTAATGGATGACCAGGGTCAACAGCAAACGGTTGTCAGTTGTTCCTCCACCTGGTGGCTTCACCTCTCCACAACCTTAACCAACTCCATGCCCCCTTGTACCTATTCCCGAATCGAGTTTGGACACGCAACAAACTTCCAGTTTGGATGAAAAATTGCATATTCAGAATGATGACAGGCCTCCTCCTCCATGGACACACCGCTCCTTGATTTTGGTCACCCTCGTGTGGGTGCGGATCGTCCTCATTTCATTTAAATAAATTAAATTTCACCTTTATGAGTGTTGCAGGAACAGGAACGACGTCATCGGTGTCACACTTGAGGTGGTGACCCTGCCGCCTTCCCATAACAAAATAAAGAAAATAAATAACAAACCACACACGCTGCATGCTAATTGGTTGAGAAAAAAAAAGAAAAACAAAGCACTCCCCGCATTATTCATCGCTGAAGATAATTCACCTTGACACTTTTTCCCGGTCCCCTATTTTTTTTTATATTCTCCCTTTTTCCATTTCCCCCTGGCAGGAAAATAAAATAAATATATAAAACTGACCCTTGTCAATTTTTTGGGGGATAGGGAGTGTTATGATTACCTCAACCTGCGATAGATATGACCATGAGACCTAGGATAACATTCAAGAAATGAATTATAAAATGAACTAGAGATCGAGAAAGGTATCACTTTTTGGGATCATACTTTGAGATGATTATTTGGGATCACTCTTTGGGAATACTGTATGAGATTTCTCTTAAAGATCCCTTTATTAGATCACTTTTTGAGATCACTCTTTGGGAACAATCTTAGGGATCCCTTTCTGGTATCACTCTTTGGAACCATAACTAATAAGAGCCATATAATATATTATAAATATAGTATTACTTACCTTTTAACAGTTCGTCCTTTGCAGGGTTCGTAGACCTCTTCGAATTGCAAATCGTTGGTGAGGAGATAACAGAGACCCTGACCATGACGATTTTCCCGTACAACAAACATATAGCGATGGGCACAAACTAATACCTAGTAGAATTATAAGAATTGGAGAAAGAAAAAGAAAATTAGAGATAAGAAATTAGAGAACTTAAGGATCAATAAAAATAATATAATATAGGTTTAAAGAAAAAGGAGAATAGGTATATGGATATTTTTACAATATATTCTTGGAGTTGGAGTAGATTTAAGCAAAAATGATCAAATAAATATTATATATCTCTTATCAAAATTTAAGAATATAAAGTATTAGCATTAAAGTATTATATTAACAGACTACAATTTCCCTAATACATTAACACATTCCCTCAGTTTTGAAACTAGTTTTTCGAATTCAGGACTATATAAGGATGTATCAATATATATATTTAAATTAAAGGATCAAATGATACTCACCTTGCCACCAGATCCATTGGCCTGCAAAGGATTCGATTGCACTGTAACGCCCATCCACTGACCCTCCTTGATCTCATCATCTGAGGGCGGTGACAGGATTTCGCTATCGAAGCCTGATCATCATAACGGTAATGCAGAGTGGAGAGTCGCGTTGTAGAGATTTGTGGAGAGTTGTGGTGATCGCGTAAGAAAAGGAGAGTGCAGCGAGAGAGAGAGAGAGGGAGAGAGATACCAATGTTAGAAATTGCTAATTAAAAGATGCAATAAATTGTGATTTTTCTATGTGTATGTGTGTTTTTGGAGGTGTCTATGTGTGCGTTTTGTTTACAAATGTTTGTGTGTGTTTGTCAGCAACAACAACAATATTAATAATAATAATTATATTATAATAACATCAACAATAACGGTAGTTTATTATATTACATATTAAAAAATAACTGAGAATAAGTATGCAATATTAACAACAAAATATATGTGAGAAACAACATTAAAAAATAATTAATTATAATAATAATCATTCACAAATTTACATACATATATATATATTTTACATAAAAACATATGTACAAAAGGGTGGACCTTGGCTGAAGGGAAAGGATAACCTAGAAGGTTATTCCAAGTACTATCTGATTTTATTTATATTAATTATTTTTTCTTTTATTTTATTAGTGTAATATTTTATTATTATTTATAATATTATTGATTATTTATTTGTATTTTTGTATACAAATTGCGGTTAAAGCAGTACTTTGAATTAAATGATACCTAAATTTTCCATTATTATGTATTATTGAACATATTAAGAAACCCAAGTTTCTTACCACCCTAATTGCTGTCCACCCTAATGTTTAACACCAAACTGGAAATCGAAAAATTAACAACGGTAAAATGCAAATTTAACTTGACGAAGCGGCAACTTCCACAAACTCCAAACAATTCAATTATTTACAGCTGATTTTCAAACAACAGCATCCAACATGTGTGTGTGTGTGTGTGTGTGAGTGTGTGTAAAGCACATGTGGCGGCAAGTTGCACAAAGAAAAAAATAAAGAGAGTTGTTGGGGGGGAGAAAAACGAAATTTTGTTGATTAAACGAAGCATGAAACGAAGCAAAAGAGCAAGAAAAACAAAAAATGGAAAGCGCAGCCGCAAAAGACGAGCAGAGAGTGATCGAGCAACAGATAGAGATAGAGAGATATATATAGAGAAAGAGAGAGGGAGACAGAGCCGAACAAAATTGATTTAGAATGCATTTTAAAGCATCAAAGTGTTGAAATATGATAAATGATTATTACTCTTGCCAGAATAACAGAGATAGCAACAAAAAAAAGGTGCACAGAAGAAAAATATCTTAAAGAACGTTAACCCTTAAGATACAAATACTAAAACCTTACAATTCTCAAGTCGAAAGTTTGCCAAAAGCAATTCTATAATTTTTTGGGTTTACATTGAAAGGGAATATATTTATAATTTTGTTTATATTGAAAATTTTAGACATTTTTTAGCTGTGTGACTTTTTTGTGGCCTTTTTGAGTTTTCTTGATTTTTCCTCTTCATTTTCTTCCATTTTTTTTTTGGTTGCCTTTGGGGCGTGGGCCGTTCTTGACTGGTTTTTTGACGCGTTCGCAGTGTTGCAGTGAAAGTCGCACAGCTGGTCGCACCCGCCCACTGTCACGCCCCCTTTTTTTTTATAAACTCTCCTCCCCCCTTTTCCATCATATGCAGTTTTCCCTCCCCAACCCCCTTTTCAAGCATTTTTGACATTGACAAGAAAAGAAAAACAAAGGCATTTTAGACAGAAGAATTCTTCATTCTGAAGGTGGAATAATGTGAAAAGCGGGTGATGGCTAATGTACAGTAATGCGAACAACCCCCCCCACCCCACCTTTTCTCTTTCTCTTTCTCTTGCTCTTTCTCTTTCCATTTTTTTTCTGTTTTGCTTTTGCCCTGCTTTTTGCCGCCAAAAAGCAAGAAAAAAGAAAACTTTCGAGCTATTTTGCACTCAAGAATTCGCATATGCGCTGTATTTTTTACAGTTTGCAGTTATTTTTATGCCTCTGCCAACATTTATTTTTGCCTTTCGGCTCGTACACTGAGCGAAAATCAAGCCTATATAGAGCATTTTTTTTTTTAAAGAATTTAATACCACTTATAGAATATTTTTTTTCAGCTTTTTATTTTATTAAAATATATTTTTATATTATATTATTCATATTTCATTTCTCTCTTAATTTATTCTTCAGTTATTTTGTAAATTTTGAGAAATTTGTCACGTTCTGGGGCGGCGCCGTTGGCAAAGTTTTTAGCATTAGACCGCCCTTCTCCTCCTCAACTTCTTGTTCTTTACGCTGCCACGCTCTGATTGCCAACAAAAAAATACACAATAATAAAAAAATAATATAAAGAAAAGAAGCAAAGAATTGGAAGAGACTTGGAGTCAGAAGAAGAAGCAGCTGCTGAAGAAACCCGGTCACAAGAAATGCAAAAGGCGACCCAGTTGCATGCAAAAACCGGGGGACAAACTTGAATTTACATAAAAGCGAGACAAAGCCGAAACTATCAATACCCTAACATAAATTTAAAAATTGTAAAAACAACAAAAATTACTTATTAAAACAAATTGTGAAGTAAAACTGTCAGGGATTAAGAGTTGTCGCTCTACGAAAATTGTAACAATTTAATAGATTTTATAAAAATAGGAAAACGATAAAGGAAGTAACGATAACAATTATATATAAAAAAAATCTTTGCTATAAGGATGATCACATATTATAAATATTTTAAAATACAAAACAAAGATATCTCAAAGTTAAACAATAACATTTCAAAAACCTTTTTTAAAACCACCTTAAATTTTACTTAAAAATGGTAAAAAATTCCATAAAATTGCTTATACCCTCTTCTATAGGGTATAAAATGAGGGGCTTGCAGCTGCTATATAATTAGCGCTAAATGAGTCGCCAATTGGAGCCGCCGAAAATGTAAATCCCCTTTTTTAGGGGTGTTATGGCATTTAACAAATGGTTTTGCGGGCAAAATTCCAAGAATCCAACCGAGCATTTTAAAGGAAATGGTTAACACGTGACGTCTATATAGAACTATAATGTAGAAAATATCATATAATATATAAAGCCAAGTCCCCCTTGTCCTTGGGGAGCAATCGATGTGAATGGGGAACTAGGGAACAGTTGGAAACGATTGTTCTATAATAATAATCGTAAACTTCTTGAAATTACCTCAACAATTATTATTATCCATTGCATAATGTTTACTTAACCCTTATCGAATCGAATTGGAAAAGATACTTGTGAATGGAATTATAGATATGGCAATATATAACAGTGTAAATATTTTGAGATATAAAATATTAAATAAATAATAAATATATTTAAAAAGTTAAAAATATTTATATAGGTATATCATTTTCATTTAAATATAAATAAGTGACAATAAATATTTACATCAATCAAGTGGATAAGTTTCAAAATATAAATACGGTTTGCAATTAGTGCGCGCATGCGTGGCGGTTAAGTAAAAGTAATATAAATCGTAAGAATAATTATAATAATAGTAATAATAATAATAGTACTAAAAGAGAGGTAAAAAGAGTGAAACGAAGTAAGCAAGATGGCGTCCTTAGGCATGCGTGCATGACTGTACATTCGGTGATTGCAAATATAAATATTTTTGGTTTTTGCAAAAGATATATGATATATATACAATATATTTGTTATAAAGCAATTTGATTAGAGATTTGTATTTTTGGATAGATGTGTTTCTGGTGCATTGAATCGAATAATAAAACAATGATTAATGCCAGGGATTAATTGAACGAGAAATCAAACCGTAAGTGAACGAATCAAAAGCGCAAACCCAAAAAGGTATGGATACTGGTTATAAATAGTATATGTATATATATAGTATATAGATCGAATACTGAATGGGTGTTAGGCGGTTGCGATGAGTCGATTCTGTTGATTTTTTAGTCAGTGGGATGCCGTGGGCAAGACAACAATTAAAGCACCCAAAACCACTTACTCTTATTAGTCTCATATACTCCGCTCGGTGCTAAGTTCGTTCGATTTATCGATTTCGAATTGGTAAATATCGAGAAAGGATTGATCAGTTTTTTATTTATTTTTTTTTTAATATATATATTTTTTTGATGTTGGTTGGGGTTAGGTTTCAGTTTCAGTTATCGGGTTTAGGTTTCGTTTTTTCGGTAGCGAAACAAATTTTTTTTTATATATTTCCCAGTTATGCGAATTTCGATTAATTTAAATAGGGGGAAGAGAACGAAAAACAAAAACATAAGAAAGAAAAAGAAGAGAAAGAAAGATCAAAAATAATTATAAATAATTTAAATAATATGTTGTTTGGGTATTTATACAATACTATGGGATATAATATGAGAATATAATATAATTATAGTGTGTGCTTATAGACAAATAATCGATATAAACGACGGAACGGATTAATCGATATTTGTCGAATCAATTATTTTAGATTATTTTTCAATAGGTCAATTAGAATTTTGACTTTTTCTCATACATCCAATTTATACAATTTTGAAATATCGATAGCAGCATTCACGCCAAACTTACAGCTACAGAAAGTAAGTTTTAAAATGTTAGATATATGTATATTTAGTCACAGGATCTTTGTACAGTATATCATTTTCTTTTTGGCAATCGTTTATGTACAATTCAATGACTAAATTTAAGATCTGAATAAGTAGGATTTGATTCCTGGCACTCCGGTTAGTCACTTGGGAGCTGGGTATCAGGTATCAGGAGGTTTGAGGACATTCAGGCCTATAAAACTAAGGTATAATACTAGGAATATAAAACTATAACTATCAACCTTCACCAATGACTAGATGTAGGATACACAGGCTTGGAATTGGATAAGAAAGGGGTACACAGATACCAAAAGCTTTATTGGGGGATATCAGATTAAAGTTTTTTGAAAACCTAGTCACTTAATAGATTTTTCTATATATCGTTTATACTTATAGATAGATCATAACTTATATATTTTTAAATTTAGCGATAACATAGGGACAACACTTACTGCGTCTGCCATCGGTGATCACCTGTTCGCAGTCATCGAATCCTGAAGTTATCGGACATCGCCACAAGGCGCCCGAATGTGAGGTGTTGGGCTGTTGATTTTGATCAAGAGGAGCTCCCACTAGAATGCTGAAAAAATTAAGTAAAATACATTATTAACAGAGTTAATTAAAGTTAAGTTAAATATATAAAAAGATTGCTCTAGAAATTATATATTTGTTTAATATTAACCACTTGGTTTGCAGAATTCTCTTTATATTTGTATTATTAAGTATCTAAGTATTTTTCGATAGTTATCGAGTTGTTTGTTTTTAGATTTTAACACCTATTATTATCTCCCTGCTATTTTTTCTCAGCTTTAAAGTCATGTTAACTTAACACCTCGTAGTAAGCCAAGCCCAACCGCAAAATGGACCCAGACATGAGCTATCTGCGGTCAGTCCCGACCAAGATCTGCCTTGTATATCGATTCCCTCTGGCCAAACACTAATTGCGGCTCTCTGCTCTTTCCGCTGATAATCGATTTTTTTTTTGTTTTTGTGGGTGAACTCAAACCCAGAGTCAGACTCGAACTGAGACTCAGACTCAGCGACAATTGGCGAGTCGGTTCAATGCACTTTTTGTCTTTTGAAATTTGGGTTTTGTTTTCTTCTTTTTTTTTTTTTTTTGATTTTATTTTCGGTTGTTTTTTGTATTTTTATTGAACTTTTTTTGAGGCTTGGCCCTGCCAAAATGTAATTACTTCGGGCGATAAACGTGTGCAATGTGGGATGGGTTTCCATGTCTGCACGAAAGATGTGGCTAATGAGCCGGGCAAAAGTCCAACTAACTGTCGAAATTTCAGCAGGATATATCGATAAAGATTTATGTAGAGGGGAAAGGGAAATTAATGTTATCGAAAAAATCGTATCTCGATAAATATTGAACTTTTTTGTATCGAATTTTTAAATATATATAATAATATCTATAAAATATGCAAAAATATGAAATATCTATAAGGTTTTTGTATAGAAATGTAAATAAAATTAGAAATATAAAATATATAAAATATAAATATATATATTTTACCCAAGTCCACGTAAATATGTCCAGAAAAAAGAGGCTTAGATACACATTTAAAGCCAAGTCTAATTGCAGATGCATGCAAGACATGGCCAAGAAGCACGCTAAATGGCAACAAAGTAGGGCCCAGGCAATTGCACAAAAAAATAAATATAAAAAATATAAAAAAAGAAAAGCAAAGAAAAACAGACACGACAAAAAACAACACCCACGTTCGGTCGCTTAACGTGTTTAACATGAATGTTCATTATCCTGCAGCCGTAAGCCCGGCCATAACCCGCGGCAACAGCAACAAACAGACGCTTTTGCGACAATAACAGCCAACAACTGGAAATTGCATGTACAACAACCAGGCAAGACACGAGGGCGAGAGGAGTGGGTTTTATGGCAGCCATTAAGTGGCACCTACACACACCACACACCACACACACACACACACACACACACATACACACCCGAGAAAAGCGAAGAAAAATCAAAAAATAAAAGAAATCTTTAAGTGCCACGCCGCAAAAGCAGGCAAAACTGGTGGCCAAAATCACCAATAACCCAGGCTCAGGCTCAAGTCCCACCTACACTCAGGCTTCAACAAAAAATATATATACATATCTATAGATAAAAATAAAATAACAACAAATAAACTAAACAAAAAATTAAATAATAAAAAATAAATAAAGAAAAATGAGTGAGCTGAAGGAAGTGGTGCTTAGGGGCGAGGTCAGAGTTATCGCTTTTGTCGCCTCACAATCGACACTTAGTTCCCTAAGGGGTACTATTAAATATTTTAGAGGGTTAAGAGGGGTAATTTTCTAGAGAAGAATAGAAAGAGAAGATTCTGGGAACTCTATAGATTATTTGTATATAATTTTAAGTTAAAAAGTGGGTATATTTATTGAAAAAATATATGGGAAACTGGAAAGGAAACTAACTTAGGAAAGATAAAGTTTGCATACGCTTGCAGTTATAGAATAGAAGTGGAAATTTATCATAACTAAGCTTAAAATATTCGTATTCCTTGAATATTTATTAATATTTTTATATGACATTTTTGTTGATAAATCTAAACTTCAAAAACCCATAACTCAGCCAAAAAAGCTTTAATTTGAATTCGGAAAGCGGTTTTTTCTTAGTTTTTATAAGGTTAATAAATCTGCATACTCAGTTTAAAATGTAAAAAAATTGTCCATTTTTGAAAATTTTAACGATGTAACCCCTTAAAAAATTTTGAAAAAATTTCAAAAAAAAATTTGTCTTCCGTATAAAGCTAGAAAGATTCGCCTGTTGATGCTGATCAAGAATATATATGATTTATGGGGTCGGAAATGACTCCTTCACTTAGTTTTAGGCTTCTGACTGAAATTATGATACCCTGTAAATGTACAAAAAGAAATCAAACCTTTGCAAAATGTGTAATATTTAAGTTAGTATAAATATTTAAATTTTAAACATAAGAGTACCTTCTTATATATCTTATATATATTTTAAAACAAAAGACTAGCTGTTATATATATTCATACTTGTATAAGTATTTATTTAAGCCACTTAAATATCTTGTAAAATTTTATTGCTGCCTTCCAAGAACCTGTTGAGCCACAGATGAACCAAGAAAACTAGATCACTCCGACTCTCTCTATCTCACTAGCCTCGTTTTCCTATATATTTTCTATATATGTACATATATACCCATGTATATATTTGTCTTGTGGTCATTAACGTTGACACTAGATACAAGCTGGCATTGCAACATAGTCTTGACCTGACCCGAAGCTGAACCCTAAGACCAAGACCTGACCCTCCTCATTTTCGAGGGGTTTTTATGGCCCCGCTTTTTCTTCACGTGTTTCCTTTTGGTTTGTTTGGACTGCTCACTTAGCAGGTGACCCAGGTGAGGTGCCCCGCAAGGTGAGAGAAACTCCAACTTCCAAAGAGAAATGAATATGTAACAAACCAAAAAATAAATAAATAAAAAACAACAAGAACCACATGCATAAATCTGGTCACCAAACGCCGCTGGCCGTAAATCTTTTGACATGGCACCGAGAGTCCATAAAACAGTCTTAATGATCTGGAGCTGGGACTTAAGGGTGATGGAAAACTGGAGCTGGAAAGATGGTGAACTGGAGCTGGAAGTTGGGGAGCTGGAAGTCTGGAGCTGGAAGCGGTGAGCTGTATAAATTCCAATCCCTTAGGGAGTGGGCGGTATGCCGCTGCTATTTGATTTTTCATCAATAAAAAAAGAAAATTAAATAAAATTGATTTTGGAGCGAACGACGTTCGTTTTTATGGCACTTGCCACTTAGCTTATCAATTAGCAGGGAGACTTAACTTAACTCATCAGGAGAAGGCTTCTCCCTTCCTCTCCAGCTCAAGTGGTGAATTTTGATACCCTCAATTATTGAATAGGGAAAACTGAGAGAAATAGTGTTTCAGATTTGTTGTATTTATAAGGAAGAACAAAGGAAATGTATAAAATTAAATATAAATATTTATTTATAAACATATTAATATTATATACATATATGAAATCTGATATTTTACAAGATATTTAAGTGACTTAAATAAATACTTATACAAGTATGAATATATATAACAGCTAGTCTTTTGTTTTAAAATATATATAAGATATAGTAGGTACTGTTATGTTTAAAATTTTTATATTTATACTAACTTAAATATTACACATTTTGCATAGGTTTGATTTCTTTTTGTTCATTTACAGGGTATCATAATTTAAGTCAGAAGCTTAAAACTAAGTGAAGGAATCCTTTCCGACCCTATAAATCATATATATTATTGATCAGCATCAATAGACGAATCTTTCTAGCCATCTCCGGCCGAAAAAAATTTTTTCAAAAATTTCCCATTTTTTGAAAAAAAAAAATCGGCCTAAATTTAAATTTTTACCATTTTAAATGAAGTATGCAGTTTTATTTACCTGTTAAAAATTAACATACACACGTTTCCGAATTAAAAATAATTAATTTTTGGCTTAGTTATGATATTTTTTAACTAAGATATTTCGAAGAAATTGTCATGTCATCCAATTAGAAGAATAAGATACAAACTAGCGACAGATACTTATTGGATCGTGTTGTTAGTGTTGCAGTTGGTCAGTCTCTTATGTCCAGCGTCTCTTGCTTAGCCTCCCTTACCAAGGCTCCCTTACCCAGTCTCTCTTACCCAGCCTCTCTTTCCCCATCCTCTCTTCACACCGCCTTCGATTATCGCGAGAATCCCCCCCTCCCAATTGCCATGTTAAATCACTTCCTCGATCTATGTCAACTTACACCCACCTCCACTGTTAAGTGCAGATCTGTTAATTAACTTTACTTTCTACATGGGAATTCCAGCCCAACAGGCATGACTTCTACCCCATGTATCTGTAAACGCGTAAAACTGTTATGCACACGTGCCAAATGTAAAATGCAAATCTAACAGGTGCTGTTAAATTGCAGGAGCAGATCACAAAACGGACGGAAGAAAAGGCGTGAAAACATCGCTCCGCAGTTGATCGGTGAAAAACAGTGAAAAGCGGGAAATTTACGGCGGAAAAACAGTGCCACGTGGTGCAGGTGCTAGTGGAGTATAGTGGAAAGTGTTTGTAAAGTGGGGGCATGGCCTAAATCAGCCCCAAAAAGAAAATCGGGACCGCTGTCGCAATTTTTCGCAAGAAGTGCACCAAACCATGTATGTGTGTGTGTGAAAACCCGCCAAATTGTGCGTTCGGCTGGCAATTTTGTTTTTTTTTTGTATGTGCAAGTGCAAGAAATGTGAAAAAATGTATGTATACATACGAATTTGAAGGTTTTTGTTCTTTTTTTGTTTGTGTGTGTGTGTTTTCATCAACTAATTCGCCGTTTTGGAGAACAATAAGAAAAGCGGGACCGCTGACGCGATTTTTCTTTATTCGTGCGCCAAACCATGTATGTGTGTGTGTGTGTGTAAGCAGCCAAATTGTGCGAATGGCAAGTCAATTTTGTTGTTTTTTTATATGTGCAAGTGCAAGGAATGTGAAGAAGTGTATAAACAAATACAAGTTAAAAGGTTTTGTGTGTGTTTTTGTGTTT